CTCTAATCTGGAGAACTGTGTTCGATTCTGCACTCCTCCACATGAAGCCAGCTGGGTGACCTTGGGTCAGTAACAGCTCTTTCAGAGCTCTCTCAGCCCCTCAAAAACAAGACTAGCTTGCCACCTAGTGGTGCATAAAGCTAAAAGAGCTAGAACTTTAGCCTGCCAGACAATCTTAGGATCTCCTGGATATACTACACACAATGCCATATGATAATTAATTAATTAAGACAAAACAGAAAAGCCTTCACCCACTGGCAGACGCTGATGATAGAAAGGGAGAGATGAATCTCCCTGGGGAAGCATTCCACAATTTTGTCTTGATGCCATAGTGACATACCAACTACCAATTAAACAAGAAACAACAGTGAAAAGGTGGGAGGAAATGGCAGGCGTAAGGGGCAAGCGGCCCAGGCTAGCCTGACCTCATCAGGTCTCAGAAGCTAAGCAGGTCAGCCCTTGTAAGTACTTAGATCATGGGAGACCACCAAGGAAGTCCAGGGTTGCTACCCAGGCAGGCAATGGCAAACCACCTCTGAACATCTCTTGCCCTGAAAACTCTACGCGGGTGGCCATATGTCGGACGTGGTGATGGTGCTTTCCACCCACCAAGGGGAAAATGGCACCAGATGTGAGTGGAGAGGTTGGAAAGCGTGTGCCTTTCTAGCCGCACTGGGTAGAAGCTAAAATGGAAAAGGTTGCGGTGGGGAGGGGAGACATGAAGCGCAACCTCTGTGCGGAGGCACCCTTCGTCTTCCAGAAGGCCTGGATGGACAAGGGCAAACTGTGAGAAGAGTGTTGTAACGAATTTTAGGTGCAATAATTGTTTAATGAATAATTCCCAAAGCATTTCGGATATCTCCTTCGGGGCACAACCCTATCCCAAAACACTCAGCATCAGTCATCAACAGTACAACTGAGGGACGTGTCTAAGGTGGGGGCAAGGAGTGCTCCGCCCCACAAGAAGCACTGGCTCGCCCCCCCCTGATAACTCCCCCCCCCCGCGAAAACTGACTTTCAAAGTTTATGACTTGAGACCGCTCAGGGAGGCAACGACAGCTTGATTCTAGAATAAGAACGTTTATGGTGGGGGAAACGAAACCATCCATGGCAACCAAAAGTTGTAGCGCTCCAAACTCTACTTACTGCTCTGACCAGCTCTGCCTTCCCAGGAATCTTTTTGGCTTGGGGCGGATTTTCCACAATCACTGGCAGACGTATTATGATGAAATCACCATCTCTCGCTAACTCTGAGCGTGAGCATGGAAAGGTGCTTATGTGGGACAAAGGGTAACCTAAGGGAGTAACTGTTTATTTTACAGAAGTCAGTAAACTCTCCCGAGTTCTTCTTACTCAAGATATAATTTCCTGGAACTAGCAATTAATAAGAACGTTAAAAAGACACACTGTGATGTCACTTCCGGTTCTGTGACGGCACGGGTCACTGCAACCCGTGACATCACTTCCAGGTTAGGTGACATCACTCCCCCCCCCATTTTCTCCAGCTGCTGTATAAGCAGCAGAAGGGGGCTAGAAGTGGGACCCCCTGTAATGGGAAACAGGGTACCCCTGGTTGGTTTTGTGTTAATCCCAGGTTTTCCATCCGTCGTTTTGAAGCCCCACCTGATAATGTGGCATTATCGAATCAGAAAGAGGGGGCCACTCCATCATCTAATTCCTCCGGACGTTCCCCTATCCTAAGCCGCAGCCCTCATCACCCAGACTTACTTTGCCTGCCCGTGCTGTTTCTCCCCTTCCTCCCCTCAATGCTTCCGCCTTATCCGCCTCTCTCCAGAATGTGGACATTTTGGCCCACAGAAGCCAGTTTGGTGTAGTGGTTAAGAGCAGTGGACTCTAAGCTGGAGATCCGGGTTTTATTCCCCACTCCCTCACATGCAGCTGCTGGTGTGACCCTGGGTCAGTCACAGTTCTCTCAGAGCTGGTCTCTCAAGGGCAGTCCTCAGGGGAGCTCTCTCAGCCCCACCTCCCTCACAGGGTGTCTGTTGTGGGGAGAGGAAGGGAAAGGAGATTGTAAGCCGCTCTGAGACTCTGAGTGAAGGGTGGGGTATAAATCCATCTCTCCTCCTCCTCTCTATAGCATTTGGGAAGCTCCACCTCTATTGGCTCTATCGAGGACAGCAACAGGCACCATCTGAGTACTGTTATTTGTGAAATTGTTTTAATCAATTTTTAAATTGTTGGAATTGATTATATGTTCCATTGTTGCTGTCGATCTCTCAGTTAACCCTGAGTACTCAGGGACTGAGCAATTTATAAATCCAAATTATAAATAAATAAATAGTGACTGGACAGCCAACAGTGCGATCTCATGGTGCAGCAATGGCCAAATACTATATTCTCAGGCATGAAAGTAAGGCCTGGAGGTGTATTTTCCCAATACACTGACACCCCTCATGAGTATCCAGGCTCCATAATACAGTCAATGCCATCAAACACTGGAAACTTAACTGTTTATAGCGTGCATATGGACATGAGCACAGCATCACAGACAGATGTGTGCATTTTTGTCTTGCATACAAAATTCAGAAAACAGTGATGTAACATGGAATATTTCATGTATTTAATAACATAAGAACCAAAGAAGAGCCCTGCTGGGTCAAACCAGTGGTCCATCTCACGCAGTGGCCAACCAATTCCTTTGGAGGACCAACAACAGGGCATAGAAGCTGAGGCCTTCCCCTGATGTTGCCTCCTGGCTCTGGGATTCAGAGGGTGACTGCCTCCAATTGTGGAGATTCCCCTCAATCACCATGACTAGTAGCCACTGATAGACCTGTCCTCCATGAATCTATCTATCTCTGTATTCTTGGTGCTTGGAGGACAACAGTGGGAGGGCTTCTGGAGTTCTGGCCCCACTTGGTGGTCCTCCTGATGGCGCCTGGGTTTTGGCCACTGCACGACAGTGTTGGACAGGATAGGCTATTGGCCTGAACCAACATGGCTTCTCTTATGTTCTTATCTAACCCCCCTTTAAAGCTGTATATTCCTGGGGCCATCCCTATGTCTAATACCTTTTGAACAAACTCTAGGATACAGATTATTTGGAGAACCCTGGTTCAGTTTGTTAGTGAAAAGTGAAGTATCTACCTATCCCTTGAACATAAGAACATAAGAGAAGCCAATGTTGGATCAGGCCAATGGCTCATGTAGTCCAACACTCTGTCACACAGTGGCCAAAAATACCAGGTGCCATCAGGAGGTCCACCAGTGGGGCCAGGACACTAGAAGCCCTCCCACTGTTGCCCCCCTCAAGCACCAAGAATACAGAGCATCACCTGCCCCAGCCCGAGAGTTCCTATCTATACCATGTGGCTAATAGCCACTGATGGACTTCTGCTCCATATGCTTATCTAATTCCCTCTTGAAGCTGTCCATGCTTGTAGCTGCCACCACCTCCTGTGGCAGTGAATTCCATGTGTCAATCACTCTTTGGGTGAAGAAGGACTTCCTTTTATCTGTTCTAACCTAGAGGTATACTTCTAGGGTACCTGAAAGACTCTGTGAATGGATATCAAGCTATTTTTAAGTCTGTTCACTGCTGCCAAGATGGTTATGGCAGCAAACTGGAAGAAGGCAGAGCCTCCTTCTATAAACGATGGCTTAATAGAATCTGGTGTGCTGCTGTATTGACAAGACTCACATATCATCATAGAGCCCAAAGGAGCAATTTAAACATTGGATATTGTTTATTATATTCTGGAACGAGAAAGTAAGTGACAAGATTCACCCATCTGCATTTTATGATTCATTGGAGATTATTCTGTTTCTTGCTATGAATTGGTCTCTTTTTTTTCTTTTGTTTGGGTGTATATGTATACATTTTCCCCCTTTTCTCTTTCTCGGTGTAATTATAACCAACAATAAACTTTCTGTGTGGTTTGTTCTTTTTTTTTTTACAATGTGGAACGTTTCTGTTTCTTACAATGTGGGTTTTTTAAAAATTTTCCTGAAATGCAGACCTTTCTACTACAAATTTATTAAAATGGGGTACAGCCACAGATCCTGCCAACCTAGCAGTTCGAAAGCAAGAAATTGCAAGGAGATAAATAGGTACCACTTCGGTGGGAAGGTAACAGCGTTCCATGCGCCTTGGTGTTTAGTCATGCCGGCCACATGACCACAGAAACATCTTCGGACAGCGCTGGCTCTTCGGCTTGGAAACGGAGATGAGCACCGCAACCCTTGAGTCGGACTCGACTGGCTTTCGAGCAAGGGAACCTTTACCTTTACAGCCACAGAGGCCAGATATACTTGCTATGGGCTGAGTCCGAACCCTGGAAATGTGGAGCAGGAAGGCATTGGATGTATGGCTTGTCCTTATCTGTATGCTTGTAAAGCAACTATATCACATGGATGCTTGGCTAGGAATAATAATGCAAAACGTGGCATCTCCTTTACTAGGATTGCCAGACCCCCTGGCCACCGGCAGGGCACGGGGGGGGGGTAGGGGTGCCAGCTCCATATTAGAAAACTCTTGGAAATTGGGGAGGGTGTAGAGCCCGGGGAGGACAGGGACCTCAGTGGAGTTCAGTGCCACAGAGACCACCCTCCCAAGCATCCATTTTCTCCAGGGGAACTGATCTCTGTATTCCGGAGACGGGCTGTAATTGGGGGGGGGTCCCCAGGCCCCACCTGGAGGCTGGCAACCCCACACCTTAAATCGTCCCCCCTGCCTCCACTCTGTGGAAAAAGTCCAGTCTGAATCCACCCTGGAAGTGCCAAAGAAAAGGCTGGCAAAACTGCGATCAGTCCAAACCCCCCCCCCTTCCTTCTGTCAGGTCAGCGAGACCAGCGTCGTCAGGACATTGCCAAAGCGTACCGAGTCCCAGCAGTGACTAACGGCGAAAAATGCCACATTGTGCAAGACTGCCGAGGTGTGGTGGGGCGGGGTGACCCGGAGCGCCTCCTCCTCCAACAGGCACGGGAGGCCTATAAAGCCGGGTCCTCGGGGAGCTGGCCAACACCAAGAGAACGTCTGCAGGGATGGGAGGCCAAGGGCACGGCAGAGAGTTTGCCGGCACTGCTGTGCTGTTGACGCTGGTCATTATGGGTGAGTCCCCGCAGGGCAGAGGGCCATGGGCCAGAGTCGGTTGAGTGTGAGTGGGTCTGTGGGGGAGCACGTGGGTGGGCTGGTGGGGTTGGAGGGGTGGACGGGTTGCGGGTGTATCTCCAGCTCTCCAAGGGAAGATGAGTAAACTGCTAGCTAGGCAGAGCTGAGGGGCCATGCTCTCTCGGGCAGAATTTCGCCAGTCTGAGTGCCTGATGGAGATCAACACCTCCTCTTATAACAGATATGGTGGGACAATCAGGTGCTGAGCAATGTAACCGATTATTAATTGATGGGAACTGGACAATTACCGAAACTGTGGCAAAATTTTGGGTAGCATGCAAGGCTCCCTCTAAGCTGTGGAGTCCTGTGAGCAAAAATTCTACTTAGTGAGCTCCTGGCATTAAAGTTGTGAGCGAGCGATTTGGCTGCTGCATGAATTAGTTTGCTCTGGAGCCATCCTTCCTGAGCTAAGACAAAAATCTGTGAGCCGGAGGCTAAAAAACTGTGAGCTAGCTCACACTAACTCAGCTTAGAGGGAACACTGGTAGCATGCTACTGCATCCGAAATACACTATCAGATATATAATAATAGTTGCCTAATAGTCTCTGTTTTGTGTTCTTCTTTTACTTTATTACACTCAACTGTATTTTTATAGAGTTTTATTTTACTGTCCTAAATTCAGTTATATGAATGTTATGAATTAAGCATGTGTGTTCTATGGCTTGTTGCCGTAATAAATGCCTGACTGACTGACTGGAGATCAACACACTTTGCCTAGGACTGAACAATGAGGGGGGGGTGCAGGGGCAGGTGGATGGGCAGGAAACAGGTGGGAGATGGACAGATGGTTATTAGAAGCAGAGGGACGAATGGAGAAGGAGAGAGAATGGTCCTTCTGTAATTCGGTCAGAAAAGTGGGAGTCTTGAACAGCAAACATTTATTCCAGCATACGCTTTTGATGGTCTGGAGCACAGATCTTTGGTGGGCTGTAGTTTACCAAAAAAAACCTGATGTGGGAATAAAAGTTTAAAAGGTGGCCCAAGACGTCCCTTTTTTATTGCTGCAACAGGCGAAAGGAGCTAGTCTGGGATTTGCAATGGAAGCAGCTCTTCACCCCTAAAATGAGAAGTGCCGGGCCTCGAATCTTCCCAGTAGCCACATTCTTTAAAACTGGAAGACTGGCCCTTTACCTCAAGGCTAGCGGGGGCTCCAAGGATGAGGGAAAGGCGCTCTACACATGCTCAGGGGCACTCATCCGGTAGCTGTTGGACATGGCTAAAGTCAGTTTCCAACAGCGCCTGCTAGGGGAGACAAAGAAAAGGATTCAGGGTTGCTTCTGAAAGAGGCAAGCCCTGGCCGAAAGGAATCCGAGAAGTTGGTTGGTTTTAGTAGTGAATTTGGCCGTGACGGTCTGAGTGCAAGATATTTTTTTTAAATCCCCTCTGGTGAAGTGTAGAAATACAACTAGAAGTGTTTGTAGAGGACATGCAACTGAGGACTTTAGGTGAAAACTCTGACAGATCCAACTATCTCTGGTCGTATCTGACGAAGCGATTTCTCTCTCTCGATCTCTCTCTGAATTAAGCCCTGGGTATAGGATGCTGAGTATGCATGGGGAGTGGGGTTGCCAACTGACCGAAAAGAAACTTACCTTGACCTGCTCGAATGCCTTGTCTTCAGAAACCGGCATGATGAAATTTTTGACGGGACCCCGAGTGCAGCGTTATCCCCAGCTAATGCCTGCTGATCAAGTTATTGCTACAAGCATAGGAGCAGGGGCTGGTGAAAAAGTTGGTAACCTGGGGTAGGGATGTAGGAAGGAAACACTTCCCTTCAGATTTCTGTGTCACCACAGGCCAGAGGCAACGGGAAGGGTGGTGCTGGGAGTTGCGTCTCCTTGGATTCGCATGAACTCCAAGCAGAAGGGCAAAGACGGGAGGAAGTGGACAGGCAGACGTCTACTGCGGGGGGGGGGAGGAGTGGGACACTGCAGCCTTCTAAAGAGATGCAGCTCAGCAGGTCCCTCTTTTGCTATCTTAACTGTGTCGAAAGAACTGGTAGAAATCATTCTGGCAGCTGTTTTGTTCTCTCTCTCTCTCAAGACTCCTATGCCCTCGGCAACTGTCCGATGTGCAGAAATTCCATGGGTAGAGAGCTTTTCTGACACACCGAAAGGCGCTCCTGTTAAATTATGTAGGGACTGAACAGGCTTTGTTTGTTTGGAAGTCGCACCCCATATAGCTTGCCATGGATGGCGGTTTTCTCATGCCTAGAGGGGCTGGCAAATCACAGTATATGGGGGGGGCGCAAAAAAGGAATCCTCCTCCCATTTTGGATTGGCTGTTGATTCTGCTAGGGTCGGACCACAGTTGTTAGACCCACACAGGTGCTTTTCAATTGTGGCGTGACAGGCAGAAATCTAACTGGTGTAGCTCTCTGGCTCAAATGTGCAACGAAGGGGAGAGTTGTCCCTGTTGAATTTCTCTCTCCCTTGCCACTGTTAAAGGCATCGAACCTTAAAGAATGGACGCGGTCTTATCCAAGAAAGCCATCGTCTGGTGCTGGGCACGTTATTCTTCTTTTCCTACCTTTGACGGGGCGGGGTTTGCAGAGAGGAGGGACTTCAGCGGGGTGTAACATCCAACAGTCCACTCTCTAAAGCAGCCATTTTCTCCAGGGGAACTGATCTCTGTTGTCTAGCGTTCAGGTGCAATTCTCCAGGCCCTACCTGGAGGTTGACAATTGTACATTTTCTGCAGAGGAACTGATCTCTGCAATCTGGAGAGCAGTTATAATGCCAGATCCCCAGGCCCCACCTGGAGGTTGGCAACGCTAACCTTTTTATTGGAAAAATTCTGAGGACGAGAGGAAACCCAGGTAAGTACCCTGTGGGCGCTCTACTGAAACAATACAACCAGGAGTTTTTAAAGAGGAGAATCCATCCCCCCTCCCCGAAAGGGTCCTAGAGTTAGTGATCTGAGCTGTAGAACTTGTTCAAAATACCAGCTGGGAAGGCATTTAATGCTCATAGAGGATGGCATTCCTCTGAACATGTGCAGAGTGCCCGCCACCAGCCTTGCCGCCGCCGCCGGTCCTCACACAGATCTGGCAAAAGGAAAAGGGCTTTGAGGCGGGATGCTTGGCATCCAAAGGTGTGTGAAGACGGCTCCTTTAACCTGTTTTCAGCCCAGTAAGAAGTCCCTGCATGGGAGGGGTAGAAATCCTGAGGTTTCGTTCCTAGGACAGAACATCAACAGGGTGTGATCAAAGGCGCCAACCGTCTGGATTCGTGTACCAGCCTAATTGCACTGCGTTGGCACCAGTCTTTAGAGGCGGAGAGGGTTCCCTCCCTCTTCTGAAGCTTCTGTACGTCTTGGCAAGAAAAGGAGGCTAGAACAGTACGGGCACAGAGTATCCCTTCTTTGCCATCCCTCGATTCAGGCACTTGTTCAAAGCACAGTCGCCCAGCCTGCAGGGGGGGAAAGCAAATGATAAGACAAGGAAGGATTCCCGTGTGCCAGCAAGAGAAGCTGGCATGGAGGTGAACAAGCGAACACCGGATTAAGGAGGTCGACCGTGTGTATGTACTGGCGTGTTGCCTAATCGGCCCGTGCCCGTTGGTTTTCCGCTCAAAACAAAAGAGGGAAGGCAGTTTCCTCTTTCTTGGAGGCACTAGACTGGGGGGGTTGGGAATTCCTCTCTGCAGAATTGCTTGCCCCGGGGGAGAGGCGCTGAATCATTGTTTGCTAGACAGCTCTCTGCTCATCAGGACTTTCTCTTGCCATTGTGCAATTGCTCCCTGATTGAGTAGGCCCAGGGGGAAAGTGCCCTTGACAGAGGAAAGGGATAATCACCCAACAAACCGCAGATCACACAGGAAGGGGAATGAGGCAGGGGTCATTTCATAGAAAATGAGGTGAAGGAGCTCACAGAAGGAAATAGTGTTCATTCTCCACTCTTCAGAACCCGTTGGTAGTATTATGCTCTGAAGAGTGGAGAATGAACACTATTTCCTTCTGTGAATTTTGTTGAATCCAGTATGGAATGTCTATGAACGAAGACAACTAAACGCATGTTGATGTAAGAAGTTCTCACGAAACGAATGACACTCCGGAGAATTTCGTCCATCACCTGTAACAACATGAAAACTTGACAAAGTGGTTATTTTGTATTTTTGTATATTGATGCTTACAAGAATTTTGAATAGATATATATATATACACTTTGCAGTATGAAGGTTCTGCTCCGGCAGCTCGATTCATTCACCCTGCACAGATTTCAAAGCCAGGAAGGTGTTTGTTCTTTAGGTTAAAGATATGCTTTAAAAAGAAATTGCCCTACGGCCTGGTTGCCAGCAGTTCAGATGAGCTCTGACGGCACATGGAAGGCTGGGCGCCACCACGTGGGCCCTTCTCAGAAAAGTGCTTCCAGAGATCAAACATGGCCCCTCGCCTCCTCCAGCCTGGGGAGGGGCCACAGCCCAGCTATAGAGCATCTGCTTTGCCTGCAGACGATCCCAGGCTCAATCCCCAGCGTTTCCACTCAAAGGATCAGGTAGGAGGGGATGTAAAAAGACCTCCGCCTGAGAGCCTGGGGAGCTCCTGCCAGTCAGAGTAGACAATACCGATCTCGGTAGTCCAGTGACCTGTCTGACTTGGAATACGGCAGCCTCATGTGTTTGGGTGCGTTCTTGGCGAAAGGGAGTGAACCCTGAAAAAGGACAGTTCTAGTGAGTCACATTAGCTACATTTGAACATGGCCAAAGCAGACACACAGACTTGCTAGGGACTGGTACCAAACACTAGGGGCCATCCCCAGTAAACAGGGACGGTTGGGAACATACGAAAGCAGAGAAGGGATAACGAGCAGATCCATTAGGGCTACTAACGGGCCTGGAGAAAAAATGTCCTGCCCCTTTAACACGGGCTTCATGTTGAAAATGGGCAGCCGAAGGTTTTCATGGCATGGAGGCAAATGATAACCCACGAAGCCCCTGTTACAGGGACGGGAAACCCCCTGGCCTTGGCACTTGGCAACTCTAGCCCTGTATGGAAAACAAAATGAATGTGGAGAACTCCCCAGGGCTAGAAGCTTTTAAGTGAACGCAAGCAGAGAATTTAAGTGCAGCCACATCTTGACGCAGTGACTCGCACTGCAGTCCTAAGCAAAGATATGCCCTTCTATGGCTGCGGTCACACGCAACATTAGCCACGCAAGAGATACGGAAGACAGGCGGAGTTTCCGGGCGCGATCTCACCAGCACATCTGGGGAGCGTAGCGCTTCCGTGGCACAACGGAGGCTTCCTCCCGAAAACGCGCAGCAAAAAACTAGTACCTCGGAGGTACTAGTTTCCGGAAACTGCGGGGCAAGGGCGGGCGTCTGATCGCGTTTCCGGTGGCATCCGGCGCCCGCCCATGTCCCCTTGCGAAGAAGGGTGTTTTTTTTCCCCAAGTCTCCGTGGTTGCGCACATGCACCCAACGGAGCATGCGCATTCGTAGTGTACACAAAAAAAGAAACCCAGTTCGCCGCGCCGCGTGCTTTTTCGTTGCGCGCAGGCATGTGTTGTGATCGACGCCTCTCTGTAACCATGGAAGCTCCACGGTACCTCCACAGAACCTCCACAGGAGGTATGATCGCTTTACTGCGTGTTAGTTTGCCCCGGGGCAAACAGCCACGCTTCTCCCCCGCAGTTTCCTGCGCGTGTGACCGGGGCCTTACTCATGTTGACTTCAATGGCCTTAAAAAGTAAAGGTAAAGGTTCCCTTGCTCAAAAGCCAGTCGAGTCCGACTCTAGGGTTGCGGTGCTCATCTCCGTTTCCAAGCCGAAGAGCCAGCGCTATCCGAAGACGTTTCTGTGGTCATGTGGCTGGCATGACTAAAAACCAAGGCGCACGGAACGCTGTTACCTTCCCACCGAAGTGGTACCTATTTATCTACTTGCGATTTCTTGCTTTCAAACTGCTAGGTTGGCAGGAGCTGGAACTAGAGACGGGAGCTCACTCCGTCATGCGGCACACTCGGGTCTCGAACTGCTGAACTACCAACCTTCCACAGTCTGCAGTTCAGCGTCTTAACCACTTGAGCCACCACAGCTCCTTTCAATGGCCTTAGAAGGCTGCAAATCCGTTTAGGACTGCACTGTTAGGACTTTGTTTCTCTGCAGTCAGTGGTCTCTGCATTGTCCCCTGCTTTGTGTAAGACGCAGAAGCGAGATGCATGGAAACTTAACCGTTCTGAACTATTTTTCTCTTTTACTCAGGTCTTTCTCTAGGATCATATGCATCAGGTACGTACTTTGGACTTGACAGAGCTCCTTGATCCCCCCCCCCCCTTGTTTCAGATCTTCATTAGCTAAACACTCTAGGCAGGATAATAAAGCAGACAATTGCCACTGAAACCCTTTGAACCTCTTTCAGAGAGGCAGGTGCCAGGATACTTTCTGGAACTATATTTTGGTGCTTTGCTTTATCTTGTGAAGTAGTTTGGGAAAGATCGAGCATGGAGCTCGATCCCCACATTTATGAACCTTTTTACAACATTTCCCCAGGCCTAATCTAAATTTCAGCTGCAGGTAGGGCCAGAAAGGGAGAGGGCGGGATCAGAAACAAATGTGGAACGAAGGCTTATTAGGTGTGCATAATGGCTTCACGACCACTAGACTAAGAGGCGTTACACCCAAAATCATTTATACCTCGCTTTTCCAAATTGGCTTAAAGTGGCTAACAGCGATTCAACCCTATCAATAAAAAACAATGAAAAAGAAATGAAAGCCACATGACAAACAACAATCCCTCTAAGCGGTGGAGTCTTGTGAGCAAAAATCCTACTTTGTGAGCCACTGGCATTAAAGTCGTGAGCGAGCGATTTGGCTGCTGCGTAAATTAGTTGGCTCTGGAGCAGTGCTCCCTCTAAGCTGTGGAGTCTCGTGAGCAAAAATTCTACCTTGTGAGCTCCTGGCATTAAAGTTGTGAGCGAGTGATTTGGCTGCTGCTTAAACCAGTTTGCGCTGGAGCCCTCCCTTCCTGAGCTGAGACAAAAAGGTGTGAGCCAGAGACTAAAAAACCATGAGCTAGCTCACACTAACTCAGCTTAGAGGGAACACTGCTCTGGAGCCCTCCTTCCTGAGCCGAGACAAAAATGTGTGAGCCGGAGGCTGAAAAACGGTGGGTTAGCTCACACTCACTCAGCTTAGAGGGAACACTGATTACAAACACGTTGGAAGGAATTCCAGCAAAAAGCTCAGTGGCCCGAAATGAACCATGACCCGAGGAATGGAGCAGCTTGGCCGGAGGGAAAGGTTTATGGCCGAATGGAGCAGCTTGGCCAGAGGGAAAGGTTTATGGCCAAATGGAGCAGCTTGGCTGGAGGGAAAGGTTTATGGCCGGAGCTTGAAGGCCAAGGATGAAGGCGAACCTCAGCAGGCAGAAGAGGGGAGGGAAAACCCAGACGTGTGGGGTGCGAACTGAGAAGGCTTGGGATGGGATTCTGAGACAGATCTTTAAGACCTACATCTGGTTAATGCTCCTGGCCTCCCCTGGGGAGTTTGATTTGGGGAGGGAGGTCTGTAACTTCCCTCTGAGAGATGCTCTACGGGCCTTTCATACAAATGCTGCCTGCCACAGGGAAAACCCTGGTTACGTTCACACTCAGTATAGACATGATCTCAGGGCGGTCATTGAAGTAGGAAGCGCGTTTCTGACATTCCCCTTTCCGACATTCCCCTTTCTCTCCAGGCCTCACCTGCGGCAAACAGAGGCTAATTACCCGGGTGGCGGGCGGCGTGAACGCCCAGAGAGGGGAGTGGGCGTGGCAAGTGAGCCTCCAGCACCGTGGGCGGCATATTTGCGGGGGAAGCGTCATCAGCCATAGGTGGATCCTGACGGCCGCTCACTGCTTCCCTGAGTAAGTCAGTCCTGCACGCTTTTCCTGATCCTCCTGATCACTGCCGAATGAGTCCGTCTGGCCCAGTTTCCCCACCGCATCTCCCAGTCCTGCCATTCTTGCATCTCTGGCTCCAACCCACTCCAGACACCAGGAGCCAATAATCAGACCGGCGTTTTTTCTTTTGCCTTCTGCAAAAATAAAAAAGGCCTTGAGAAACAGTTGGGTGTAAGGGTTAGAATGTCGAAAATCTGGGAGACGGGGTTCAGATCCCCGCTTTGCTGTGAAGGACCGGGTGGGGACAGGCCGTTGCCAGGGTTGCCAGCTCCAGGTTGGAAAATACATGGAGATTTGGGGGGTGGAGCCTGAGGAGGGCAGAGTTTGGAGAGGGGAGGGACTTCAAAGAGGTATAAGACAGCCATTTTCTCCAGGGGAACTGCTCTCTGTCACCTGGAGATCAGTTGTAATAGCGGGAATTCTCCAGGCACCACCTGGAGAATGGCAACCCTAGCTGTTGCTCAGAGGAGGAGGAGGAGGAAGAGATTGGATTTAGACCCCGCCCTTCACTCGAAGTCTCAGAGTGGCTTACAAACTGTTTTCCCTTCCCCTTCCCACAACAGACACCCTGTGAGGTAAGTGGGGCTGAGAGAGCTCTCTCAAGAACTGCTCTCTCGAGAACAGCTCTGAGAGACCAGGGGCTTGCCCAAGGTCATCCAGCAGCTGCATGTGGAGGAGCGGGGAATCAAACCCGGCTCTCCCAGATTAGCGTCTGCACTCCTAACCCCTACACCAAACTGGCTTGGCATGCAGAAGGTCGCAGATTCAATCCCTGGCCTCTCCAGTTCAAAGGCTCAGGCGGTAGGTGATGTGAAAGACCTCTGCCTGAGGAGAGCCGCTGCCAGTCTAAGTAGACAAGACCGGCCTTGATGGTTTGATCATCTTGCTCAGCATAAAGCAGCTTCATGCGTGAAGCTCACTGGGTGACATCCCTGTCTCTTGCCCTTGCCTTCCTCATGGGGTTGTGTGAATATGAAAGGAGAAGGGGGAACTACGTCTACCTTCCTGAGCACGGCCAGGCTTGTAATCTATGTCAGATGTCGTTATCGATTAGGATACTTAGAGCTCCCCCACCCATCCAAAACAAGGCTATCACAATATTAATTCTGGTTTTGTTGTTCAGTCGCCCAGTTGGGTCCGACTCTTCGCGACGATACGATTGTTCCCCGTATGGAGTAAGGGCAGAGACTGGGAGAGGATTACTTAGTGAATTTGTACCTGAGGCAGGATTTAAATCAGGGGCTTCCCCGTTCCTAGATAGGTGAGGTCAGCACTCTTTCACCGCCAGCAAAATGATGTCATCAAAAGAGCACCTACAGACATCTCAGTAAAGGGGAGAGGGAAAATTAGGCTCCTAGGAATGGCTGACAGTGGAGGCGCTCCATCCCACAAAGGGCAGAGTGGAGCAGGAGAAGAAGAGACTGGATTTATACCCCACCCTTTACTACCCAAAGGAGCTGCGGTGGCTCAAGTGGTTAAGACGCTGAACTGCAGGCTGTAGAAGGTCAGTAGTTCAGCAGTTCGAGACCCGGGTGCCGCAAGACGGAGTGAGCTCCCGTCTCTAGTTCCAGCTCCTGCCAACCTAGCAGTTTGAAAGCAAGAAATTGCAAGTAGATAAATAGGTACCACTTCAGTGGGAAGGTAACAGCGTTCCGTGCGCCTTGGTGTTTAGTCACACCGGCCACATGACCACGGAAACATCTTTGGACAGCGCTGGCTCTTCGGCTTTGAAACAAAGATGAGCACCGCAACCCTAGAGTCGGACTCGACTGGCTTTCGAGCAAGGGAACCTTTACCTTTACTCACTACCCAAAGGAGTCTCAGAGCGGCTTACAAACGCCTTTCCCCTCCCCTCCCCACAACAAGCACCCTGTGAGGTAGGCGGGGCTGAGAGAGCTCTCCTGAGAACTGCTCTTGAGAGAACAGCTCTGAAAGAACTTATGGCTGACCCAAGGTCACACCAGAAGTGGAGGAGTGGGGAATCAAACCCAGTTCTCCCAGATTAGAGTCCGCGCTCCTAACCACGACACCAAACTGGCTCTGCCCATCTGTCTCACATCGGGTGCTCTCTATGGCTTCCAATCCATAGAAGGAATAACATGCCCCTTCCTTCCTCTCTACTTTGCCCCCTGCAGGGTGGGACACCCAATAGTCCCCCAGGACTGGAAGGTGATTCTGGGCCGCCTCAAACTGACAGGCGACCCGGTCAAGGGGGAGGAGCGTGATGTGGCGGAGATCATCCTCCACGAGAGCTACGTCAACTACAAGAAAGGCCACGACATCGCCCTGGTGCGCCTGTCGCTCCCCGTGTGGTTCAAGCGGGATATCTCGCCCATCTGCCTGCCGCGCGCCGATCACCAGTTCGCCTTTGGGACCCAGTGTTGGGTGACCGGCTGGGGTGACATTGGCACAAACAGTGAGTGTGACAGGGGTGCGGGTGGGAGGAGGGGGTGCTTCTAGTCTGGGCGGCCATTTTATGGGACCCCGAGAATCAGGTTCGGCCGTTCATCTCCTCCCACTCCGCTCGGTCCCGTTTGAGGCATCTCCTGAGGTGGGAGGAAGGCTCCAGGCTTTGCGGAGGAGTAGAACGTCAGTCAGTGTTCCCCGAAGCTCCGAGCGGAGGCCCTTCCCGTCGATAGACAAGTAAACCAGCAGGTTCGGCGACAAAAGAAGGCTTCATTGGCACACATTTACTTAGTATGTTCTTATCCCATCCTCCCTCCAAAGAGTTCGGGGCTCTCTCCCTGCCCTGTTTTATCACCTTGTGAAGCCCAAAGAGAGCCCCAGGTCACCAAGGGAATTTCATGGGGAATGAGGGTTTGAACGTGGGTCTCCCAGGTCCCAGTCCAACGACTCTCACCCATGGATCCCCAACCTGGTGCCCGTGGGCGCCATGGGGCCTGCCAACACCTCTTCTGGTGCCCGTCAAGTGCTTTTAGAAAGTGGGTGGGGCCTGTTGGGCTTTTGCCCTGCAGAGCTGCTGATTGGCCTCCGTAGAACTGGTCGGCCATGTAAACTGGCGGGGGGGGGGACCGTCGCTCTGGCAGCGGCTGCCACCACAGCACTGTGTGACGGAAGGTAAGCCGTGCGTGACAAGGAAATATTTTTCAACAGTGTCGAAAAGTAAACGTCTTGCGTTTGTGCCTGTCTTTTAAAATGAAGCTACAGCAGGAAGCCAAGGAAAACCCAAAAATCCCCAATGAGTTCATTTTAAAAGACCTCCTGTTAAGCATAGATTCTGCCTGAAATTTTGAAGTGTTACTATTAAAGGCTGGTTTTTTTTAAGAGTTTGGCAGAGTTACTCTTAGAGTCACCTGACTCCTTGACATTCCGTGGCTGGCTCTGCCTTCCGTGGCAGCCATTTTGTCATCATGCCCACCACCCAGTGTCAGAGTTCCAAAGGTGCCCGCCGGCTCAAGAAGACCGGGGGGACCCCGGATCTAGCCCTTCTGCCACGCAGACGCCTCGCTCTTCCCCGCTTGTCCTCATTCCGTTTCTGCGACACTTCTGATGCAGAGCAAAAAATGAGAAAGACAAATCCCCTGTGTCAAGGCTATTTTTGGGCAGGAACGCACGGGAACGGAGTTCCGGCTGGCTCCTGAGTTGGCCACGCCCAGCAGGAACTCATTAGCATAATAGGCCACACCCAACAGCAGAGACTCATTAGGATTGGCTACATTAGAGGTGTGTGGCCTAACATGCAAAGGAGTTCCTGCTACAAAAAAGGCCCTGGGTTTTGACGACAGACAAGGTAGAATAAGGAGCAAAAGGTGGGTGTGGCTGGATGACCACACTTCTGGTAACACGGGGTTGTGGCCTAATATGCTAATGAGCTGTGCTGTCAGGAGTGTGGCCTAATAGGCTAATGAGTTTCTGCTGTTGGGTGTGACCTATTATGCTAATGAGTTCCTGCTGGGCTTTTTCTACAAAAAAACCCCTGCCTTGTGTGATGGACAGCCGATGACTCGGGAAGGAGGCGGGGGTTTGAGGTGGAGGTGGAGGGGCCCTGGGGGTGGGATGGGATGGCCCGGGAGCACCGGGAGCAGCACAGGTAACTGAGGTTAAGCAGGTGCGAATGCCGTCCGTCCCACACCACCAGGAGCCCCGTGTAGGATCAGAAGGGCATCATAAAAGAATCCGGATCTGAGTGTAAATGAGGTTGAGGGTGCCCGCGTCCAACTCTCTCTCCTTCCCTGCTTCTCGCAGATTCTCTGTCGGACCCCATGCACCTCCAGGAGATGGCCCTGGACCTGCTGTCGAGAGATACCTGCAACTGCATTTACAGCAACCTGCGAGACAGGACGATCGTCTCTCCCGCCATGCCGGGCATGGTTTGTGCCGTGACGCCCGACCGCAGGAGGGGGCCCTGCAAGGTCAGTGGGGGGGGGGAGAAACCTGGTGAGATTCCATCAAAGGAGGGAGGAGCGTGTCTCATGCTTTATGCAGACGTGCCCACAGCTGGAGCAAGCCAGCAAAACCATAGTTCCTTTTTAAAAAAACCCTTCCCGAGTTTCTAGTCCTCATGGGTGCAGAGATGTTGGCAGTATCTGGTGAAAGACTCTGGGGGGGAGGGAAGGCTTTCGGTGGAGAAGAGGCAATGCTCCAGGGCTCCTGAGTTGGGTTGCCAACTTTGGGGGGGGGGGAGCTCGCAGAATTACAACTTGATCTCCGGGCTAGAGAGATTGGTTCCCCTGGAGAAAATGGCTGCTATGGAGGGTGGGCCCTACAGCCGTATACCCTGCTGAGGTCCCTCCCCTCCCCAATCCCTGCCGTCCCCTGGCTCCACCCCCCAAATCTCCAGGAATTCCCAATTTGGAGTTGGCAGCCCTGCTCCTAAGAAAGGAATGATTGGCTAGCAGCTGTACCGGGGTACATAAAATGGTATAAAGCAACTCTTTTTTTTTGCCCCAGGGGGATTCAGGAGGCCCGCTGGTTTGCTTGGAGGACAACCGATGGTTCCAGGCAGGCATCATGAGTTTCTCCATGGACTGTGAACGTTTAAACGGGCCCATCATCCTGACGGAGACCAAGGCTTACGCGGACTGGATCCAGCACCACGTCCGTAAGGCCGCCTTTGCTAACCAGACAGAGCCCCGGCCCAGGACAACGGACAAGTACCTGTGTACAGGTAGGGTTCTTTATGGAGGCGTATTTATATTCTGTGATCTTTAACAGTCCAAGTGTCAAGCATGGAACACAGACACCTTTCTTCCAGGGTCAGGGAAAGGATTGTGGATTCATGGATGTATGCAAAATCACACCCTTTTTTGTAAAATATTCCATGTTTTTTCCAGAATGTGTTCAAAGCAGCTGGTAGAGGGGGGAAATTGTAAAAGGAATATGATTAGATTTATTTATTTATTTTTAAAAAGGAACATTACTAGAAAATTATGAGCCATATGGAAAAGGCACCCTAGGAAGAAATCCCAGATGTCTATCCAAAAAGGAAGCGTTCTAAAGTAGAAGGTTTTCTCAATTCGAAAGCAAGGCCTTAATAAATCCAAAGGGTTCTCTGTAGAGGTTCTCCACCTAGTGGCAGGCATTTGTATTGCACAAACACCAGGTAACTGAAACTGCCTGACACATGAAGCAGGTGATGGGTGATTGCTAGGGGGAGCGAGGGTCTCGACCCCTAGCATTGTAAAGCGCCTAAAAGGGAACCATAACAACAAACCAGTGCCACTGACCAAACCAAGTCTGCACGTGCTCCTGTTTCCTGACATTTAACACAAAACAGAATTTTGCCCCAGCTGGAATTTCTGGCTAGTCTTCAAGGACATCCCCATGTAAAGACTTAATGCAGTAGCCAATCCTGGTGGTTTCAAAACCATATTAGGCAAATTCCTTCTCCACGTTTGTAACTTGATGGGTTTGGGTTCTAATCTGAATTTAACGGGATGTGGTTGGTTGGGGGATGTGCATTAAGCAGCACTTAATATTTTATACTGTTTTCCAGGCTGTGGAACACTGAAACGAGACAAGCCTGGCTTGGGTGTAGAGGGACTCTGGCCATGGTACGTGAGCCTGCAGTACGAGGGGAAACACACCTGCGGGGGCACCTTGATCTCAGAAGACTGGATTGTGACGGCTGCGCAGTGCTTCATTGGGTAAGCAAAGGTAGCAGGGTGCGAAATGGCCCACATGCAGGGAGATGTTGTGATGGGTAAATACTAGCGGTCGTGCCACTCTGTGCTAAAACCTCAACTCAGTGTCAAAAAAAGCCAGATTTTGCCACCTTGAATGAAACTCTCATGACTTCTGCCTCTGTTTTGCAGGCGCCAGGAACCAGAGAGGTGGGTGGTGCTGCTGGGTGAGAAAGAGGTTGGGTTAAAACGTGAGTGGCTAGAGAGGAGGGCGCTCCAGGATATCGTCCTTCACGGTGCCTACTTCAACGCGACAGAAGGTTACGACATTGCTGTGGCCAAGCTGGATCGCCCCGTGAAGTTCAACGACCATATCTGGGCCATCTGCAACCCGTATAAAACCCACAAGTTCCCACTTGGCTCTACCTGCTGGACACGGGGACGGACAATCGGTACGTGGAGCGAGGAAGGAGAGTATGGGGGCATTCTCTTCTAGAGGGCACCAGGTTCAATTCTGGAACACACTGATCATACTAGAAACGGAGTAGCTTGTAGTGAAGTGGTAGAGCTCTCTGTCTGGGGCATACCACTGTCAGCGGGGCTCACGGAATTCAGTGCTCCATCATACAAAATAATGCTGTCCACATAGAAAAGTGGCATGAGAAGGCAAGCATATATATATTCCCCCCCCCAACATGCAACTTTTCTATGTGGAAGGAAATGGGGTGGGTGGGTGGGTGGAGGAGCACTCAGTCCTGCGAGCCTTCAACTGCAGTCAGAAGTGGTACAGCCCAGACAGAGGCTGGCCACCCAAGTCTTAGTCTGAAGACTCAGAGAAGATCACACATCTCTTCCTGTCCGTAACATATCAGTCACAGTCTTCTGCCGCTTCATTTTGCCTCAGGGCCATGCAGGAAAGGACGTCTTCCTTTCCCCAGCTCTGCTGTTGGCGTTTTTGAAAAAAAGAAAGGGAGTCCCTTAAAAACACAACCCCTCCCTTTCAAATGCTAATAACAAAGCAGAGAGCCCAATTTCAAATACTGAAAAGAAGTGGAAGGGTTGAACCCTCCCTCCCTGCCCTGCATGGCCCCAAGGCAAATTGAGGTTCCATAAGACTGTGGTTTGCATTTTAGAGACAGTATGATTTTCCCTCCTCTTCTCTGTTTGAACCCAAATCCCTTGTCAGCAGCTAGTTTTACTGGAGGGTCACTGGGTGTGTGTGTGTGGGGAGATGGAGAAGGGATGGACCAGCCTCCCCCAACCATCTCCCAAAGTCACGTTGCCACAAGCTGTGCTCCCACCATGCGCCTTTCTTGCCTCTGAGCTGCAAGCTGAAGAGTTGGTGCTCCTCAGGGGAGTTCAGATTAGGTTCTGGGCTCTCTAGTTCTGACCTGTGGTAAGGCCAGGACTGTCTGGAGATATGCTACGTTTCCCCCTCTCAGCCAGTCTCAGGAATGCAACGCTTCTGTTCTCTGAGACTGTAGAACTGGGAAGGAAAGGTCTAAGGAGCCAATCCCTTTCCACACAGCCTATCACGAGGGAAGGCTATGAAACCCTCCGCAGATCAAATCGTGCCATCCTGGCCTTGGCATGCTACAAGCAGAGCACATGTTGCACTGCACGGCAGATAGCTATAGGATGCCCGAGTGAGTGAGCCAAGCCGCATTTCAACAAAAGACATCTACTTACGTCTCCTCTTCCCTTCTTCATTTATGATCCCTAGAGAGCTTGGCCTGGGGGGGGGGATATTTCCAGCCTAAATATGGTCATTTAGCTCTATCCAAGCATCGGCGCATCCCATCAACATGCCCCCCTGGCATTTCTTTTGGATGTATGTTCACCATACCCAGCATTCTCCCTCCCATTGTGGAACTCCCTGATATTTCAGGGGGGGAAAGATCGGTAGCAAGGAACTCCCCAGGGCTTAAGTGGTGGCAGGACTTGGAGCTACTCCCACTAACCAAAGATATTTTTCCATGTCTGTCCAGATGGGACTGGCACACCGAGTCCTCTAGGGGGTGTGGAGGTGAAAATCCTTGGCCCCAGATCGTGCAACTGCCGCTACAACTTGACCAGTGACCATGGGCATGAGATCCCCATCGGCTCCCAGATGCTGTGTGCCGTGCCCCATAAAAGCACCATGCATTGCGAGGTAAGAAGCCATCAGCCAGTCAGGGGATAGGAAGGGGGCGGAGGGGTGGCCTGATTGTTTCCTTAAAAACCAACTTTTTTGCCATCAAGTCACAGCTGACCTCTGGTGGGCATTTCAAGGCAAGACACGTTCAAAGGTGATTTGCCATTGCCTGCCTGCCTCCGCATCACGACCTTGGTATTCCTAAAATGACCCTGCTTAGCTTCTGAGATCTGATGAGATCAGGCTAGCGTGGGCTATCCAGTTCAAGGCACAACGGAACACCCCTTCTGCTAATTCTCATAGGCTCTCTCCTTTGCGAGCCCTACCAAACTGACAGCGAGCTTTTCCATACCGCTTCAGTGGTGCACATGCAGGAGAACTTCCCAGCGGATTCCACCCATGTGCCCCATCTGTCTGCTTCCCACTCAGTTGCATTTTGTGGTGCTCCATGAGGCAGCTACCTCACGGTACCCCGTGGCAGGCCCGCTTCTGTGCGTGCAGGGAACAAGTGGTTGAGCCCCACTCCCAGCGAAACTCCTTCTTGTTCCTGCATTCTAAAAGGGCCCTGCCTGAAAGCCAGTGTGGCTACGCGGGTGGAAACGGCCATCGAGTTGCAGTCGATTTAGTGGGGGTTTCAGAGGCTGGAGAGGAGCAGAGGTGGTTTGCCGTGGACTTCCTGTGCGCCAACACAGCAATGGCTAGGTTCCAGTTTCCCAGAGGTCATTCTGTGCACATACAGCTGAACTGGGGAAAGGAAAACACAGACCACCAAATGCAAGTGCAGTTTCTAGAGAAGGCAGAACTTACAAGGATTCTCGCCCTTCTTACGCCTTCCCTGCCGGTTGAGCTAAACTTGTCAAGGTGGAGAGTGACAAAAGCGCTCTTCTCGCTCGTCTTTATTTTGAACGGTCCCTAGGAAGGAGGATCTCTGCTTCTCCTCAGGGCTCGCCTCCTTTCCTGAGCCAATGGGGATACAAACAGTCCTGTGGAGCTGTCCAGCTTTACTGTGGTGCTGAAACTCTCTCTAACAGCAAACAACTATGTATATACGCGTTTAGCCGCATCAGTTTCAAATCTGGAAGTTCCGGGCATTCTCTGCTATCCGGAGAGGTGCCCCCGAGGAACCGGTTGACTTTATCTGACTTTCTCTCCTACCAGTCATACCCCCCCTCCCCTGGGAAAACAGAGAATGGAACCCGAGAATCCTGGCTCTTTTCTTTCCCTCTTTGGACCCCACTCTGCTCCCAGGACGAGAGTGTGGACTTAGGGAGTCCTTGCCACATTATTCTGTCCCACTAGAATCCAACTTTCCTGCCAGAGCTGGGATTGTGCTGAAAATCATTTGGAGCCGTTCATCTCGGGGGTCATGCTGGCTTTTCACATAGATGCTAATGTAATGCCACGAAGCAACTGAAAAGAGAAGCTACTATTGGCATTGACTGTTCCTGTGAAAAAGGGCTGTGTAGCCTCCAACACGATGTGATATAGATATTATTTAGGAAGATATTTTTTGCTTATCCGTGTATACCTACCTTGACCTGGATAGCCCAGGCTAGCCCGATCTCGTCAGATCTCAGAAGCTAAGCAGGGTTGGCCCTGGTTAGTATTCGGGTGGGAGACCTCCAAGGAATACTGGGGTTGTGACTAATGCTCCCTCTTAGCTGTGGAGTCTTGTGAGCAAAAATCCTACTTTGTGAGCTACTGGCATTAAACTTGTGAGCAAGCGATTTGGCCACTGCATCAGTAGTTTGTTCTGGAGCCCTCCTTCCTGAGCGAAGACAAAAATGTATGAGCGGGAGGCTAAAAAACTGTGAGCTAGCTCACACTCGCTCAGCTTAGAGGGAACACTGGTCGTGACCAATGTTCCCTCTAAGCTGTGGAGTTCTGGGAGCAAAAATTCTACTTTGTGAGCTTCTGGCATTAAAGTTGTGAGCAATTGATTTGGCTACTGCCTAAATCAATTTGCTCTGGAGCCATCCTTCCTGAGCTAAGACAAAAATGTGTGAGCGGGAGGCTAAAAAACTGTGAGCTAGCTCACACTCGCTCAGCTTAGAGGGAACACATGGAGGCAGGCAATGGCAACGCACATCCACTGCCCTGAAAAGCCCACCAGGGGTCACCATAAGTCAGCCTGTGACTTGACAACACTTCCCACCAGCATGCTCAAATTTTGCATCTGGGCTTGGTAGCATCAACTTTTTGGCCTCTGCCATACTGAAAGGATTGTCTTTTTGCACTTGGTCCTGTAGGAGACCATCGGGGAACCCCTGATGTGCAACGAGAAGGGCACCTGGTTTCTGGCGGGTATCTCCAGCTTCGGCAAGGGCTGCGGGACTGTGGTGCGTCCGGGGGTTTACACGGCAGTCAGCGCCTACCAGGACTGGATCATGGAACTGGTGTGGTCGGCTTACTATGACGTCCAAAAGCCTCCCATTCCAGCTGCGAGGGATGACGACCGCTGCCTGACCATTAAGCCTCGAGGTAAGATGGAGAAACCCATTGAATCCTCAACCTCCTAGCATTGGGGGCTTATTCTTGGCATCGTAGAAAGATGGCAGCTCTTTGCGTACTCGTGGTTCATGCTCACCTCTCTCTCTCTCTGCACGTGATCCAACATCTACGCATCCTTTTGCCCTGCTGGGATTTTGTCGTTGGCTTCCCCACACATAATGTGTCTGCAAGAAATGACGACCCAACAGAGTCTCTCGTGTCTTGTTGCCATCCTGGCAGGAATTCCCCTGCCAGGATGGTGTTGTTTGGTACCGGGAACCCAGAGCTCAGTTCTTCACTGTGTATTTGTGACGGTGTCCTCCTTGAGCACGGAGATCAGAGGTGTACAACAGAGTGGTCCAATCATTTTATCCTTTCTGTTGGTGGAGAGGCAGCGAGTCCCCCAAAACCACCCAATGGACAAGGTTCCACCAGCCCAACACTCTGCCTGCTCCATTGTAATGGCCCCCGACTTAGATAAAGCCCTGCTACACCCCCCCCCCGTGCCCTTTCCAGTTCAAAAGAAGCACTGCGACTGCTGCCTCTCTGGGTCTGCCTGGGCAAGGCAACTGGCATCGCCCAACAGCCTTCTTCCCAGCCTCCTCTATTGCTTTACAGCTGATACAATCTCATCCATGGAAGCCACATAGAGAAATAAATTTGCTCTGCCTTTTTTATGATCTTTCTGCAGGCGCGGGGAACAGATAGCAAGACGTGCAAAGGCGGAACTGGCGGCCAAGGACTCGGTGGAATCAAAATCCTGCTTCCCACCCCCCCACCCCGCCATTCTGCCTCCCACTGAAAGGGCCTTCGAGAGCCACTGGAAATCTCCTGCCTGTGCCGGACACTGGGGGAGGTGCCATCTGTGGCTTCCAGCTCAATTCCTCACAATTTCAAGAGCAATTCGGAGGGCCCCGCCTGCATTAATGGGGGTGAAGCTATCAGGCCTAACTGCCACATCTGCCAAAACGACACCAGGAGCCCTTCCTATGCCAAGCACAGCGGGGGGAGGTTATTTTCTCTCCCTCCCTCCCACTTTACAGATAGAAAGACCGAGGCTGGTCTGGTGCTCAGCCAGGGAGGATGGTTGTGGGGCAAGTATCTCAGCCTACTCCACAGGCTTGTTGCGGGGGGGGGGAGAAATGGTACTATTAGCCACTGACAGTAACGTGACACTGCTGCCGCATCTGCCGGCCATCGTGGGAGAATCAGATCCGATGAATCGCCTTGCCCAGAGCTGACCTGAACTGGCTTAACATTGATGTTAGGACTGAACGGCTCTGTAGGAGTCAACTCAGCTTGTATTCTGCAAACACGAGCACTTGTTTCAGCTGCTATTGGAAATCCCACCCCCCAAATGCTTCTGGTGTGTCCAGAGGCAGAATATCCACAGACCAGACCTTTCATCCCATCTGCAGCTCTGTGCTGGAGGACAGAGCAAACCAATGCCCCATATTTCATGAGTGTGAATGTGCCGTCAAGTCACGACCAGTGTTCCCTCTAAGCTGAGTTACTGTGAGGTAGCTCGCAGTTTTTTAGCCCCCGGCTGACAGTTTTGTCTCCGCTCAGGAAGGAGGGCTCCAGAGCAAACTCATTGATGCAGCAGCCAAATTGCTCGCTCACAACTTTAATGCCAGCAGCTCACCAAGTAGGATTTTTGCTCACAAGGCTCCAGGGCTTAGAGGGAGCATTGGTCGCGACCGACTTAAGGCGACCCCAACAAGGGGCTCTCAACGCAAGTGAGAAGCAGCAGTGGTTTGCCGTTGCCTTCCTTTGCAGACCCTTCCTTGGTGGGCCCCCCTCCAAGGAATGACTTTGCTTAACTTCTGAGATCGGATAGGATTGGGCTACACCACGCCACCTTCCCCCCCCCAAAACACCTTCCCAGTGTTCTGGTGAACCGGGGGTGTGTGTGTGTGTCTCAGACTCTCGAGTCCACCAAGTCGCAGCTTCCGAGACGACACGGAAATATCCTGGTAATGGTGGCGGAAAGGGCTGTTGAGTCACAGCCAGGGCTCCCTCTGAGCTGCGGAGTCTTGTGAGCAAAAATGCTACTTTATGAGCTACGGGCATTAAGGTTGTGAGCCAGCCATTTGGCCACTGCATAAATTTGTTGCCTCTGGAGCCTTCCTTTCCGAGCTAAGACAAAAATGTGTGAGCCGGAGGCTAAAACACTGTGAGCTTGCTCACACTAACTCAGCTTAGAGGGAACACTGGCCGCAGCTTACTTACGGCAACTCTACAGGGTTCACAAGGGCCAGAGATGAACGGAGGTGGGTTTGCCGCTGCCTGCCTCTGTGCAGTGACCCTGGGCTTCCTTACGGGGGACTCCCATCCAAGTACTAACCGGGGCTGACCCCTGCTTAGCTTCCAAGACCTGACAACATTGGACTCGCTGGGGCCTCCGAAGTCAGGGTGGAAGAGCCCCCCCAAGAACCTCGATACCTCTATCAGGTGGCAAGACCCGTTCTCTGTCCTACTACAAGTTCTTAATGTTTAAACATTTCAACACAACTCCGCCAGACAGGCAGGCTGGGGACATCAGCGCTTCATGCAAACGGAGGGTGGCCCTTGGAGCAAACTCCGGTGGGGCAAGACCTGGGAACCCAGGCCACCTGTTACGGATTGTCCCGGCGTCGTATTGTGCCGCCCCTGGTTTTGTTACTTTTTTTTAATCGTAAGACTGACATGGAACTGAGTATGTGTGTGCCTGTGTGTGTATTTATTTTTTAAGGCTTATTGTGCTAAATAAACTATTTGAAGAAAACGTGTTCTCCAGAGACTCTCACATGGTTTATGTTCGAGAGAATATGACACAGGCATGGCTGGATGTCTGTCGGATGTAAAAACCACAGCAGCCTAAAAGGGCAAAATTATAACGGAGGGTCTATCGGGGGCTACTAGCCGTGGCGACTAGACTCCACAGTGAGAAGCGACAGACCTCTGAATCCCGGAGCCAGGAGGCGACCGAAGGGGAAGGCCTCGGCCTCTCTGCCCTGTTGCTGGCCCTCCAGAGGAGCTGGTTGGCCGCTGTGTGAGACGGGATACTAGACTGAAAGGGCCACTGGTCTGATCCGGCAGGGCTCTTCTTATGTTCTTGCGGGGGGGGGGGGGACGGACTCCTCCAAAGCCTTCATAGTGTAGTCTACAATATAGTTGCTGGGTTCTGCCACAAAGTCACAGCTGACTTACGGCCGCCCCGCAGGGTTTCCAACGCAAGAGATGTCCAGGGGTGGTCTTGCCATTGCCCGCCTCTGCACGGAGGCCCTGGACTTCCATGGCGGTCTCCCACCCAAATACTAACCAGGGCTGACCCTGCTTAGCTTCAGAGATCTGACAGGATCGAGCTAGCCGGGGTGATCCAGGTCAGGGCGATAGGCACACACACACACACACCCCGAACCATAGGAAGACTGATGCTCGCAGCGGTGACGACGACTTATTCGGTAGCCCTCAAAACACAGAACGGAAATTTCAGATTCACCACACGAACGTCTTTGTTGGGAGGTAAAGGAGTTTCAGGTTCTAAGGACTGGAACAGAGAAGGGGCTGGCCTCCACAGGAGGATTTCTCAGACTAGGGGAGGAGGCAATTCCCCCAAGTCACTCCCCCCCACACTGCAGACCCCCCCGGCTCCTCCCCTCTTATTATCCCTCCTGTTCCCCAGGTGCACCATTTCAGGGGGCCTCCCGGGCAGTGCCAAAAGGGAGGAAGCCAGGTCATCACAGTCCGTGGATGGGAACCCCTCCCGCCAGTGGAAACTACCCGAGGATCCAAGCTAGAAATGTTTACCCCCTTTGTTCAGGACCGAGTGCTACCAGCCCTGAGAAGTCAACCGTGGTAGACCTGGACTTCACCTAGTGTGAGTGAAAACTGTTAAAACAGTTTTTCTACAGACCTTCCAGATTCTTGACTAACCTCTCTGCTTTCAAGGCTCTGGAAAGGTGATACGGATGACTCGCCTCTAGACAAGCAGGGTGTGCAGGTGCTTAACGTGCCCAAAACACACGGGAATGCTCTGCTGGGAATGAGGGTCGCTTTGGGGTTACGGAAATAGGACTTCCCCCTCGGCAACTGGTGCTGGCAAGAAAAAGCTCCTGAAGGGAAACTCTGCCCCCTCGCAGATCTATCAATTCCAGGTAAGATTTGCCTTTCTGGGCATGGGGGCAAAACGCCTTTGGCTAGTGCTCGCCCCAAAGGGCAAACCCTGCCCATCGCAGTGAATGCGAACAGCCCGCTGGCCTGGCGCCTCTAGCCTGCAATCTCTCCTCTTTGAACAGCGACTGTACCCCACACCCTGTGACCATCAGACCGGCACCAGGCCTTGAATTCGGGTCACTCTCACACTTAACAGATAACTGAGGTCCAGATAACCGAACTTTGCACTGCTGGAGTTAACACCCCCTTGGCTTCAGCACACTTGATAATGAAAATAAGAGAAAGGGGGGGGGGGAAATGCTTTAAAAAAAGAAAAAAGAAACAAAGAACAATTTATTTGCAGAATTTCTCAGTGTCTCACAGCTCCAGTACGGACACCAGGTGTCGCCAGAAACTGTAGGAAATGTATTCTGTCCTATGGGGGAGGGAGAGGAGAGGAGAGACTTTGCACCTCTGAGTGGGCACGGTCTAGTAGGGGAGTCTAGGGGGGCCACACTCCTAAGGGGTCTTGCCCTGGCTGGCAGGGGGGAGAGAGCACCTGTGGATTTAGAGCAGGGTACCCCCTTTTCCCACACATACAAAACTATGCTTGTTGTAGGGACATTCTCACTAAAGGATATTTAATTAGATATTGAATTATGACAACTTTTGGAGGGGATGGGAAGGGGAAACGCTACAAACTTTTGGTAAACCGATGAGGGGTTTTTCCTTGTTCAAGAGCCAAAATGTACGTTTTCTTTTTAAAAAAGTGGAGGTATGAAATAGGACTTGAACGTTTAGTACATTCGGGTGTCAAAATAAAAACCGGGGAGGCGGGGAGAGAACGTGTTTCAGCAGACTATTTTAAAAAACCCAAACCCAAACAGATGACCCTCCCACCCCCATTTTAAAAAAAAATTACCCAACTACGTTAGAAATCCTACAAAACGTTCACCACAAATGGAGAATTCTCAGCTACTTAACCAATAGCTACTCTTTCAATCGAAGGGAGGGGCTTGGGCGGCTGCCGTTCTGAAGGTTTTGGCCCCCGGACAAGCTGATCTGCGACACGCCGAGGGGGGAGAGAGCGAGACTGAGCTGGCCACAGACCAGCAGTGGAATGCCATCAGTCCTCTCTCCAGGTCTCCCGCTACCAGAAGAGAAAAACTGGCAACCAACAAAGTTTGAGGCCACGTTTAAAAAAAAGAAAGATCTTGAGACCGATTCCGAGCCCCCTGCCCAGTGCTCTCAGAACTGACTGATACAATCACCATTATCCTGTTTGCAAGAGCCGGCTGATCTACTCAGAAGAGTCCTGTTCGGACTGCGCCACTTTGTACTTGAAGGGGCCGTGTGTGTTTAAATGTTTTCCCCTAGTTTAAAAAGAATGACTGAAATCGGAACACACAAACACTGGGGGGGAGAACCATTCTAGTTTAGCGAATCTGCAGGAAGGCCAGGGCGTCAAGCTGGAGAGAGACGTCGCGAGCCTCTCCCGGCGGAAGGGGTAGAGCCCCAACAGGGCTCTACTCTGAATGCAGAGGGATCGGTTTTAAATCTTGAAGGGAGCCAAAAACCAAACGAAAAGAAGTCATTCAAATAATGGGATTAAGGGGCTGGCCCGGGGAAAAGCCACCAAAAGCCTCAGGCCGCTGTCTCCCACGGGAGGCGCCAGCCGCCCAAAGGCTTGCTGGGAGAGTGTGGATTGCCCCTCTGCTGAGTGTCACAAACCGCCGGCCAGTGCGGAAGGCCGGATGGCGTGTGGATACGGGCAGACTGGAGCCAGTCCCCATCCATTCTGAAGGGCCCTTCACAACAAAGACTGGGTGGAGGCAGAGCTTATTAGTAGCCACAGGCAGGCAGATCTATCCCCCGCCCCAGGATTAGGATCATAAAGAGCTTGTCCCATTGGCTTTCCATGTGTCTCCTGCTCATCGCAATGGGGCTTGCGCCCAGTTTTGCAGAAAAGAACTCGCTGACTCGCAGAACATAACGACATTTTAAGTCAGTAGCCTCTAGAAATGGTTTCTAATTAACAGCGTCACCTTTCAGTTAATACCTTTTAAAAACTTTTTAAAAAAAAAAAAAAAAGGAGAGAAACACGTGTCAAGTTTGGACAGGTTTTTGAAAACATGGTGTTCGGGCCCACCCCAGGAACAGTTTTCCCCACGGAGGGACGCAGCGATCCAAAGAGCGAATCCACACTGTGGTGATCATCTCCGCCACGGCAGCTGAGCCACATTCCCCTCACCCCACCCCACCCTTAAGACAGTACTTCTGTGATTTTGCCTAAAGGAGTTATTTAAATACCATCGGCGGCTAAAACGTGGGGGCTGCTACTCATCTGACTATTTAAAACAGACTTAACCGCTGTTCTTTTCTTTTCTTTTCAAATTTGAAAACTCAAGGGGCTTAAAGCACATGCTTGAAAGGTTCCAAGGTGCTAAAAGTCAGTTCTCCAAAGGGGATCCAAGACTTCCCCCCCAAAAGGGTATAACGTGGCCACAGGGAAACATTTCCCCGTGACTCAAAGGAGGCCTAGTTGGGAGTGCTCAATGCAACATTCCATTCAGGGAGAGAATGTGGTCCCCAACTGGGAGCTCTACAGAGAACAGGGAACCCTGCCCCTAACGTCCAACTACTCTGCCTTTTTATCCCCAGATATGCTGCTGTACACCCTCCTGTCCCTCTCCCGTTCAACCATTCCCAGCGGAGACCTCTCCCCATCTAGCCCGTCCTGTTTCCTCACAGTCTGCTCAGTCCGCCACATCGTCCTTGCCACACGAGTACACGTGCGCGGACACCCTCAGCTCCCGTCCCGGGGGGGAACATCTCCAGCGGCAGAATGCCCACAGTCCCTGGCATGCGCCAGCTGATGCTGCTGGAAGCTGAGCTGCTGGGAGAACACCTCGGAGCAGACAGGGCAGGCGAAAGGAGCCCCTTCCTCTTTGGGGTCGCCGTGGACTTTGGCGTGGGCGGCCAAGCGCCTGGCAGTCCGAAAGGCTTTGCCACAGGGAGAACACCGGTGGCGCTTCTTGTCCGTGTGGGTGTGAAGGTGGCTCTTGAGGGCCAGGAGGTTGTAGAACTCCTTCTGGCACGTGGGGCAGCGGTAGAGGCCAGTGGCGTGGGCTTTCTTGTGGTTGAGGAGGCTGCCGGCGTGGCGGTACGTCCGGTCACAGCTGTCACATTTGTAGGGCCGCTCCTCCTCCGGGGGCGCACTGGTGTTCGGATACATGGGTGAGGAGGAGGAGGAGGAGGAAGAGTCCCCCTCGGCGTCCTCCGCCTCCGCCTCTTCCCGGTGTTTCCTGAGGTGGCGTGTCAGATCTCGAGATGCCCGGTACGCCTTGCCACACTCCGAGCACTCAAAGCGTTTCTTGGAGTGGACGCGGGCATGGTTCCGTAGCGAGGTGCGATTGGGGAACTGTTTGGAGCACAAAACGCAGTGGAAGGGGCCGAGGGGCGATTCCCTGCGACTCCCTCCCCTCTCCTTCTCAGGAGCCCGCGGGTTCCTCTCGTGCTCTTGCCCCGGTGTGCTGCTGCTACAGGGATGGGGCCGGCGCTGGTGCCGCACCAGCTGCCGTTGCCACTTGAAAGCTTTCCCGCAGTCCAGGCATCGGTGGCGTTTGACTTCGTAATGGATCCGCTGGTGGTTCTTCAGAGACATCAGATTGGGGTACGCCTTGCTGCACAGCGGGCAGGCAAAGTGGCCGATCTTGTGGCTCTTCTGGTGGTTGAGCAGGCTGCCCGCATGGCGGTAGGTGCGCCCACACTCCCCACACTGGTAAGGGCGTTCCTCAGGATCCGGGCGGTGCTTGGCGGCATTAAGAGGGTGGGCTGAATCCTCACTCTTGCCCGCCCGCCTGGCGTGAGGGGGCCTCCTGGAGGGACGGGACGAGGGGTCCCATTTTCTATCACGGTGGACCCGCTGGTGGCTGGCCAGCTGCTTCTGCAGACGGAAGGCTTTCGGGCACTCCGGGCAGCGGTAGCGTTTGGTCTCAAAGTGAGTGCGGTGGTGGTTCTTGAGGGCCATGAGGTTGTAGAACTGCTTCTGGCAGACGCTGCAGTGGAAGAGGCCCGTCTTGTGCGCCTGCTTGTGGTTGATCAGGCTCCCGGCATGCTTATAGCTGCGCCCGCAGGCCTCACACCGGAAGGGGCGCTCGGACGGGGAGCCCTCCTCTTCGGCGCCAGGGCCGCTGTCTTCCTCCCCTCCTGCGGGTGCCGCTTCCTCCTCTCTGGCCGACGTCTCCTCCTGTCCCAGCTTCTCTTCTGCAGCACAGAGCCCATGAGGGGCCTCCGGCGCCGCTTTCTCGTCAGGTTCTTCCCCGCAGATGTCACCCACCAGAGTCTTTTGCGCCTCGGGCGGGCTACGGTTCAATGCTGCCTCTTGCCCGGGACGCTGCTCTCTGCCAGGAGACAAAAAGGAGGGCTCCCCTGGTGGATCTCTCCCCCCTTCGTGCACCAGGACTTGGCCGTCAGGGGCCGCGTCCTTCTGACAACCAGCAGCAGGGCCCTCTGCTCCTATGGGGACCGGCTGCCGGACCTCCGGGACGCTGCCGTTCAGCTTGCATTTCGGATGGTTCCTGAGGTGGTTCCGGTAGGCAGACAGATTGGGGTACTGCCGGCAGCAGGCGCCGCACTGGTAGTCTCCGACCTGGTGGATCTTCTTGTGATTGACCAGGCTGCCGCCGTGCCGGTAAGTCTTGCCGCACTGACCGCAAGCATACGGCCTGTCGTCCGAGGGTTCGTCGGCAGCAGCTGACATTTCCGCCGGCGACAGCCGTGGCGGATCTTCCTCCACGCGCGGCGCCCGCCGGAGCTGGATCGAGGTGTCTGCCAGGGCTGCGGCCTTTTCTTCCTGGTGCCCCTCGCTGTGCTCCTCCAGGCTGGCCATGTCGTCGAACGTCTCACCGCAGTAGCCGCAGATGTGGGAGAGCAGCTGCTCCTCTCCGGGATCCTCGGCGTCCTCCACCTGTGCGCGGGTGACCGCTTTCAGCTCGGCATCCTCCCCACCCGCCTGCCCTTCCCCTTCTTCGTGCGCCGAGTCATGATGGTGCTGGAGAGCCTCCTCACTCGGGAAGATCATGCCGCAGAGGCTGCAGAGGAAAGGCGGCTCCTCGGCACCGTCGTTCCCACCGGGGCTGCCACGGCTCAGTGCTGTGGCCTTGGTGTGCCCGTGGAAGTGGCTCTTCAGAGCTAAGAGACTGGGGTATTCTTTGGGGCAGAGGGAACACTGGTAGATGCCCAACTGGTGGGTCTGCTTATGGCTTTCCAAGTTGCTAGCTCGGTCGAAACCCGTGCCGCACTGCTCGCAAAGGTAGGGGGGCACCTCGCCGTCTCCTGGTGACGGCAAGGGGGCATCCGACTGCGGCTGCCGGCCGTTCGCTCGAGCCCCATCTCCCAGAAGGCCATAACCGTCTCTGACCTCCTCGCCGGCGGGGGGCACCCCAGGCAGAGCAGCTCCTTCCCCCGCTTCGGCATCTTCATCCGTGTTGGCCATCACAGCCGTTCCTGAGTGGGCCCTCCTTGGCCTCTGATGCCCACGCAAGTGACTCTTGAGAGAGGCGACATTCTGGAAGTGCTTGCCACAAACCGAGCAGCTGAAGTCCCCCGTCTGGTGGGTCTGCTTGTGGTTGATGAGGCTCCCCGAGTGGCGGTACGATTTGCCGCACAGATCGCAGCCGTAGAGGCGCTGGACGGGAGCGGGGGACTCGGGCCTCTCAGCCGCTCCACCGAGCCGCTCTCTGTCGCCCCCATGCGGCAGGCTGTGGTTCTGCAGGCTGGCCACACTGGCAAAAGTCATCCCGCGCTGGTTACAGACGTACGGCATCTCGGAGGAAGGGAGGATGTCCTCGGCCACCGCCGCTCCGTTCTCCAGGGCTTCCACGTCCTGCTTGATGGCTTGGAGGAGATCAGCCTCCTGGGGATGGAAGCCCCCGAGCCCCGGGATGGCTGCCGCCTCGATGTCCTCGCTGCAGGGCAGGTGGCGCAGCTGATGGAGCTGGAATCCAGCCTCCTCTTCAAAGCTCTCTCCGCAGCTGGTGCAGGTCAGGCAGTCGACGGGCTCCCTGCTGCTCAGCCGGGCCGCTCGCAAATGCACCCGGACGTGATTCCGGAGCGCCATGAGGTTGGTGTACTGCTTGGGGCAGATGGAGCACTGGAAGACCCCAGTCTGGTGGGTGTGGCGGTGGTTCACGAGGCTGCCACGGTGCCGATAGCTCCGCCCGCAGTCCCCGCATCGGTATGGCCGCTCTTCCTCCCCGCCACCACTTTCGTCTTCTTTCGGGGAGGATGCTCCCCCCCAAATGTCTGGTGGCTGGATGCGGCCATCTCCGGGCTCTCTGGGGCTGTCTTCCTCTTGCTGCGAGTCTGAGATGACAGAGGGATGCTCGGAGGCCTCCTCCGGCGCCGGCAACCCAAGCTTGGATTTGAGGTGGACCCGCAAGTGGTTCTTCAAGGCGGCCAGGTTATAGAGTTGTTTAGAGCAGACGGTGCAGCTGTACACCCCAATCTGGTGGCTCTTCTTGTGGTTGATGAGGCTCCCTGCGTGCCGGTAAGTCCTGCCGCAATCCTCGCAGCGGAAGGGCCGCTCCTCCAACGTGTGATAGTCCTCCTCGCCCTTCAGGCTAGCTTCCCATATCCCGTTGGAGCCGGGGGCCAGCTGGGAGGGCATGCTGCCTCCCCCCTCCTCTTCGTTCGCCTCCTCTGGATACAGGCAGCTGTGCCCTTTCAGCTCCTCCTCGTTGGCAAAGGTGCCGCCACAGCGGACGCAAAGCTCCCCGTCTGGGTTGCAGCGTTCCCCACCGCCTGCCTTGGATGCGTCTTTGAGGCTGCAGGGGGCGCTGTCTCCAAAGTTGGTGCCTGCCGGCGGAGGCTGGTAAATGTCCAACTTGGCCGAGGTCTCGATGGAGTCCTCCTCCCAGAGGCTGTGCTCTGAACCGTCCCAGGTGGGCCGACCGGCCGCTTCGGTCTTTTCCTCGTCGTGAGCCTTCTGGTGGCTCAGCAGCTCAGAAGGGAGCCGGAACGCTCGGTGGCAGAACCGGCATTTATAGGGCCGGTACTCGGAGTGGAGGCGCGTGTGGCTCTTGAGCGCCATGAGGTTGGAGAACTCCTTGTAGCACATGGAGCACTGGTACACGCCCAGCGTGTGGCTCTGCTTGTGATTGGTCAGGCTGCCGGCGTGCTTGTAGGCCTTGTGGCACTGGTTGCACTTGAAGCGCCGCTCTTCGACGGCTGCGTCCCGGAGCCCCGCCTCCTTCTCCCCCCGGTGCGCTTGGAGCGCCTCCTCTTTCTCCGCATCCCTCTTGATAGAGAACTCCAGCAGGGAAAAGTCGGCCGGCACCACCGAGTCCGCAATGTACTTCTCCAGGTTGGTCAGCAGGCTCCCGCCGCCTTCTGCTCCGGAGTAGGTATCGGCGTCGGAAGAAGAGGTATCCTGGCCCCTTTGGGAGGTGCAGCCCCCGCTGTTACTCCCCTCTTCCTCCTCCTCCTCCTGGTCCCGGCTGGCATGAGCCATGCAGCGGTGACTACTGAGCTGGGACGAGGCCCGGAAGCTCCGACCGCAGTCCCGGCACTTGTGGCGCTTCTCCTCCGTGTGGGTGCGCAGGTGGCTCTTGAGGGCCATGGGGTTGGAGAAATCCTTGCGGCACAGCAAGCAGGGGAAAAGGCCCACCTCGTGGGTGCGTCGGTGGTTCACCAGGCTGCCGGCGTGGCGATAGCTTCGGGGGCACTGCTTGCACTTGTACGGACGCTCCTCCTGCCCGGCCGAGGGTTCGCAGGCTAGGGCAACATCTCCCTCGGCCATTGCTCACATCGGAAAGAGTTGTCCTTTGCTCCTCACTGGCCGGGAAGAGCAAGCTAAGGGCCTCCTGGCGAGCAATGAGGTACCATCACAGAGCCTCCATCTATGTTGTCCAGCTAGGTCTTTCTCCCCCGAGAGTTCGAGCCAAGACCTACGGAGACAAATCAGGGACAAAAATAAAGAAATAAATAAGGTGAGTGCAAATCTCCATTATCAGGCTGAGCATCACTGTAATGAGGAATCCTCATACAATCCATCCTACAGGTGAGATGCACCCAGACATGTGAAAGCTCGAAAAACCAGCGGGATCCCCCCCCCTCATTTTTTCCCTGAGGACTACCCCCATTGCTTCCAAATTTGGGGGAGGGCTGAAAAAAAATCTCATGAAATGAGGACCACCCCCCATTGCTTCCAAATTTGGAGGAGGGCTGAAAAAATTCTCATGAAATATTTTCTTTTTGAAAATGAATAAAATGCTTCCTGAGGCAAGGCTCTCCACACTCGGGAGTGTTCAGCGTGGAAAAAAGCACGAGAACTTTTTTCAGCTTCCCCAACGGAAATTATTGAAAAAGTCTTATGCAATATTTTCTTGTTTTGAGTGAGAAAAACCACGTCTTTCGAAGCATTTCACTCATTCATTCCGAATGTGCTGCACGGAGAAGTCTGAGAACTTTCTCATTTTTTCCACTAGAATAACTGGGAAATTTCAGAAGGCACTAAATAAAACCCCCTCTTATACTGCAGGCATAAACATTAAAAGCTTTGTTTAAATGTAGATAATTTGGGCAACAATTAAGTACGTTGTAATGTGTTTAACGCTAACACATCGGTGAGGAGTTTGGTGTTCTCCATGTTCTAAAATGCAGCTTAATATCCAAACACGCTGGCAGTCCTACCTGTCGGGGCCAATGCTCCCTCTAAGCTGTGGAGTCTGGTGAGCAAAAATTCTACTTTGTGACCTACCGGCATTAAAGTGGTGAGCGAGCGATTTGGCTGCTGCATGAATCAGTTTGCTCTGGAGCCCTTCTCCCTGAGCTAAGACAAAAAGGTGTGAGCCGGAGGCTAAAAAACCGTGAGCTAGCTCACACTAACTTCACCCTAACTCAGCTTAGAGGGAACATTGGTCGGGTCTAAGAGACGGGTTTTCTGCCCTCAACTTTTATTTTTGCCTACTTCTCAGGTGGCAAAAAAATTAAAGCTACGTGTTATGGCAGCAGCGAGTGCAGCAGTTAGCATACTTGCAATTCGCACAGAAAAGAAAGCCATTAAACTTTTAAATTACAGAAATGTGCCAAACAGTACAATTTTCTATCCTAAGTAATAGATTGTGCATCGTTAACTCCGTCAAAGAAGATCATTTCAGGACGGGAGCCGTGTCAGTCTACAGTAGGAGGACGAGACCTGAATCCGGCAGCACCTTCGATTTCAAGGTTACAAGCGTCTGAGAGTCAGAGTTCCCTTCGTCAGGGAGCTCAGATTCTCAAATGCTTCTATCCTGGATACCTTGTTGGTCTCTAAGGTGCCGCTGAACTCGAACACTGCTCAGGCAAAAAAGTGTAAGTCTGATAGGAAACTTACTACTGCATGTATTCCAGTTTTTCCAAATATTTCTGGGGGGGGGGTTCCCAGAAAAAAATGGGGGGAAAGTTTTCTTCCGCCCCCCCTCAACATTTCCAGAAATTTTACATCGCTAGTGAAGAAGGCATCTTTTTCCTGTGCAGAATGTAAGTATTATTAAAATTCTATATCCTGCCACATTTCTTGTTTACTGAAACATGCATTCACACACACTCACACACACACATATTATTCTACAGGAAAATAGCAAGTTTCAAGCCAGACCAGAGGAAGGGGGAGAACGGTGGGTATTTAAATGACTTCAGCTATTTATCTGGCTGTGGGATCTTCTTATGGTTAGTTTATACGTTTTGTATTTTTTAGACAATAGATTTGGAATGACGACCCTGGCCTTTTAGATCTGGTTATCTTACACACACACACACACACCCAAGCTTCAGGAACAAGAAGCATTAAAGGCAAATGCATATAACCAAAGAAGCATCACTGGCTGTTGGTTTGCTGTTGTCAGGGGTTGGCTGCAGGGACCGCACCACACCATCCCTGTGCCTGAAGTTCTATCCTGGCTACCCCTCTGTCTTTGGGCAGAATTCAAAGTGCTAGGTCTTACCTTTAAGACTCTAAATGGCACGAAGCCAGGACCGCATCCTCCCACATTGTCCTGCCCACCAGCTGAGATCTGCCCCTCAGTCTCTGCTCTCTGTGCCCTCGCCTTCAGAAATAAGGCAGGTGGCAGCAACAAGAGGCAGGGCATTTTCTGTGGTGGCCCCTTGCCTCTAAAACACTTTCCCTTCAGGCTCGCCTGGCACCCATTTTACTTTCTTCATCAGCCCGATGTTACTTTCTTTTACTTTTTTTTTAATTTATATTTTTATTCTTTTACTTAAAAGTACATTCAAATGAAGAGAAAGAAACAACACAAACTCAAAAGCATCCAAGGGGTATACAGTAAATGAATGTATAGTGGTTAAACTATGAACTTTAAGGAACCCTGGTTAAAATCTAAATGATCTTATTTACTATACTTTACTCAACATTTTATCTAATGTCTCCTCTGAACGTTTGCACCATTGACTAGTGTTATTGACCGTTCAATAGATGTAGACTTATTCAACTGTCTAGATTATTAGAGTGAGCGATGCGTTATAAGAACCATCTGTGATAATTCATGTTTGTGGGGAGAATTTCGTATTTTGACATATATTTCACCACCGGTGACCAGAGCCTTCTAAATTTCGTATGTGATGTGGTGTAAGGTGACTGGGTCTCTCGACGTAGGCCATTAATTTTAGCCATGACAAACTGTTCCCATAGCTTATCGTGCCAGAGAGACAGTGTGTGGGGGGAGTAGGGGACTTCCATACAGAGGCTTTCTTTTACCATCGATTAGTAGACTTGCTTGATTCTCTTGCCAAACCTACAACCGCAGTTTCTTATAAGCCCTTGTCCTGGTTTGACTCAGACTGTTTATCAGTGAAAAACCCAGTAAGGTCCGCATATACGGAATTTCAGTTAACAAACAATCCTGTTCAATTAAAACAATATCAAGGTCACAACAAACTCTACCAAGAACTTACGCTTAAGAAGGAACTGTTTTTTTAAATTTTAATCATTTGATCAGTTTTTTGACAGTCTGTTTTTTTGGATCGCTTTTTCATACTGTTTATGCCCAATGGCTTCTTTTTAAATATTGTGGTGATCTTAGTTGTAAAACCTCCCAGAGCGGGTCCATGAAGAGGTGGCATGGGAGATGCCCAAAATAAGTAAATAAATAAATAACATGCTTCTGCTGTCCTGTGATTTAGTGTTTTCCGGCAGCTAGTTAATCGCAACATCTTCTGAAAGAAAATGGCCATGGGGTGGGGAGAGGCGATAGCTCCGCAACAGAGCACATGTTTTGCATGCGGAAGGTCCCTGGTTCAAGCCCTGGCACCTCCAGCTACAGAGGAACTCAGGCAGTCGGTGGTGGGAAAGACTGTGTGCTATTCTAGACACAGGAAATTGTCACTGTCCACAGTGCCCAATACCAGGCTAAATGCAACCAGGGGTCTGACTCAATGCAGGACAGCTTCGGGAGCTTCATCCCCCCCCCCACAGAAGTTTCTGGGGTGGGAGAGAGATTTTGCCCATGTTCAAGCAAGAGCGAAAAGGCAGGGAGAGCCTGGAGCACAGATTAAGAACATAAGAGACGCCAATGTTGGATCAGGCCAAAGGCCCATCCAGTCCAACACTCTGTATCACACAGTGGCCAGAAATACCAGTGCTATCAGGAGGTCCGGCAGTGGGGCCAGGACACTAGAAGCCCTCCCACTGTTGACCCCCCCCCCCAAGAAGACAGAGCATCACTTGCCCCAGAGCCCCTATCTATACCTTGTGGCTAATAGCCACTGATGGACCTCTGCTCCATATGCTTATCTAATTCCCTTTTGAAGATTTATTTACTTATTTATATTTATTTATTGGATTTCTACCCCGCCCTCCCAGCCAAGGCCAGCTCAGAGGCTCAGACAGATTTGCGGAGGATGGCTCCATCAATGGCAACGGTGACTAAAGGGAACCTCCAGCAAACCTCTGGACACTTGGATACAGCAGCAGGGGAAGGCCTCTGCCTCAGTACCTGCTGGGTGGCCCTCCAGGGGGACTGGTTGGCTGCTGGGTGAGACACGATTACACAGACTTATTGAGTTCACTATTGGTTCACTTCACTTATATCCCACCTTTCTCCCCAAATGGTATCCAAAGTAGCTCACATCACCTCCACGAGAGCCAGGTAGGTGTCGTGGTTAAGAGCGGCGGACTCTAATCTGGAGAACCGGGTTCGATTCCCCACTCCTCCACATGAATCCAGTTAGGTGATGTTGGGCGAATCACGGTCATCTCAGAGCTCCCTCAGCCCCCTAAAGACAAGTCTAGCTCACCACTCGCGCAAAACGCTAAGAGCTAGAACTTGTGGCTGCCAGACAATCTTAGGATCTCGTAGCTATTCTTTACAAGGTGGTGTACGATAATAATTATTATTATATCACCTCCATTTCATTCTCACAAAATCCCTTTGAGGTAAGTTAGGCTGAGAGAGTACGAATGGCCTAAGATTACCCTGCAAGCTTCCCTGACAGCCAGAGGATTCAAACCTGGGCATCCCAGATCCGACACCACATCGGCTCTTCCACAAGGGGATGTGATGGCAACTCATTGGCCATGGAGGGGAAGAGATGTTTGGATAAATTCAAGGAAAAGAAGGCTGCCGACAGTGATTAGCCACAAAAGCTAAATGGAACCTCCACATACAGAGACCGTGTGCCTTTGCATACCTCACGGTAGAGACAACCAGGGAAGGGCCGTTGCCTTCATTACCTGCTTGGGAGCAAAATGACAACTGAAATGGACCTTGATGCAGTCTATCGAGGCAGTTTTTCATCTTCTGACAGTAGTCCCCTTGCATGTCTCTCACAGGGCTGATAGGAAAAAAGGAAAGCAGGCTAGCTGCCCTGAATCTAAATGCATGTTTAGGCACCGACACCCAACTAATTAAAGAAGTGAGACCATATGAGAATCAAAGCAGGGCAGACCCTGGGAAGGGAAAGCGGAATGAAGGGTGTTTACAGCGGGGTGTTCGTAATTAGAATTCTTTCCAATACTGAGAGGAGTTCACAGTTCAGATGGGAAGGAAAGAACCACAGTTCTTTTTGCATTTTGGGAGGAGAACAGAGTCCAGTGATTTGGGAAACAAGAAGCTGGGTTATGAGTTCAAGATTCACTCGAACAGGAACTAGAAACCGGGACTCCTAGTTCCTATCTATCCCCATAACAGAACACTTTCTATTTCTGCAGCTGTTGTTTCCTGATATTTGAAGATGGGCATCCTTACCCATGGTGAGGATGACTGCAAAGCACTTTAAGACAAAAGCTGCTTAAGAAAGCCACTTCTGTGTCACTTACATAAAATGAAACACTGTTTCTGTATAAACAAGCCTGTGCAGCACAAAGTTACGGTGCATGACTCCAGACACGAGTGCAAAGGATTTTGCTTGCTTACCTCTCAGATCATGCAGAACAACCCAAACAAGAGCCGAACTTCTCCAGCAGAAGAGGCTGAAATGAATTTCCTTCCCCAGGGGCAGGAGGTAGAGGCCAAAGACGGAGGCATCTCGCCTTGGATTTTTAAAATGTTTGTTAGGAGTAACACATTTCCTAAATCCGTTCCACAAATGTCATAGGTAGTTTCACAGGCTTCAAATCTCTAAGCATATATTTTGGATTTTTTAATGGGGGGAAATGTAGATCTTCCAGGAAATCTGTTAATCATCTTCACCTCAGGAGATGACATGAAACAGTCCAAGGATTGAAAAGACACACGGACCCTGAGCAGACAGAGACTGAACCTTGGACCTTAAAATTCCAGGTTCAGATAGCGATTCCAAAAGTACTTTACAATAAATCTGAATACCAAAGCTGAAGCACAGGTGGGGAATTCAGACTCTATCTCACATTAAAGTACCGGAGGTCCCCAGGAGGGCAGATCAAAACATTAATTCATATTAGGTCCCCCTCCCAAAAGTCCAACAGAGAGGCAGTACATTGTGGGGGTCTGGCGGAGTTCTGCTAGAGTCTATTTGCACCCGGGGCTGCTAAGGCATCCAAAACGGAGTCTGACTCTTGATGGGTCAGCATTCAGCTAGGGAACGCTTGGAGGCAGAGCTTCACCGAAGGGGAGAGAGTTCAAGTCCTGAGGCTTCAGGTGCAGGCTTAAGATCTGAGGTATCAAGTTATCCGGTCCCAGCGCGAGGGCGATTCCAGCGACAGAGAGTGAGCAGGAGAAGTTGAGGGGGGCGTTCAGGAACTGGGTCTGAGGTAGAAGTCAAATCCCACGTGGCTGCTTCACGTCCCTGGAAAGACACAGGCGCCCCGAGCCCGGCTCTCCTCGAAGAGGTCAAGGCAAGCAAGGAAAACAAAACGTGGGAAGGAAACTCTTGGCTGCCCAGCCCCTTCCAGGCGCCTCTGGCCCCCCACAGAGCACAGCCTGGCCCCCTCAGGCGCCCCTCGCCGCTACCTGAGGAGTCTCCCGCTCGGGGGTTGGCGCCCCGCAGCGCCCTCCGCCCGGAGCTTCGAGGGTCTGTGCTTGGAGAAGTCACAGAGACTAGGGCAACAACGAATACTTCCTTTTGTTGCTAGGAAACAGGAAGTGTGCGCCGTCGAAACCTTTCCCCCTCCAGCCGAGAGGAGGCTTCACTTCCTGCGGGCTCGTTTGATGCCTGTGGTGAGAAGGTGACACTTCCAAAGTCCCCTCATTCAAAACAAAACATGGGGACTAGAGCGGCACAATGAGTTTCTGGACTTCCGTCGAAATAAACGGAAGCCGCTAGATCGGCTACAGATTCTCCACAGGCTTAAGATGGCGTCGCTCTAGGCCCGGGCAACTCTATGTTGTAACCGTCCCCTGGACGGCAGCTGAGCGCGTGGGGGAAACTAAGCACGGGAAAGGACGGCGATGGGCACGTGAGGTTCTTAAATGAGATTTTTGCTGCATCCGTCCCAAAACGGACTCGGTTTTCGGCTCGAACTTCCAAGGGATGTACAGAGGGATGTCACCATAGAGTTACCTAGAGCGGAACCACTCGGCGGCCTGCAGAGAATCCTGGCCAATGAGGGGTTGCCGTTTTGACCGGAAGTTTGGGCCGGGTGTCGTGTTCTCGCCTTTAGGTTCGTCGCCTCCTGTGATGTGACGCGGAGATAAACATCCCAACAGCAACAACGCTCCAGCCTGGACAGTGTATTTAGTTCCGTTCCGGACGGGGGTTCACAGTGTGAGCGGAGCCCTCAGGTAGCCGGCTGGTTTTCCCCGAAGCGCTTTTGCCACCTGTTTTTTGCCGGGCGAGTGAAGAGTCGCGTGACTTTCAGCAGGTGGGTCCCCATTCCCAGCAGCACCTTCCCCCGAGATCCCAGCAGAGACCGCCCTGTCTGTGAGCGCATCAGAAGAGCCGCGGCAAGCAAAAGGGAAGGTGCCTGAAGGAGTTCTTCCTTGAAAAGAGCTGCAGCAAACGAAGCCTCCAGGCGCTTGAAAGGCGCCGAAGGGATTTATGGTGGCAAAACACTTTGGTGCGCCCGAGCTCACTTCCTCAGCACATGGACCAAGCCATGTCTTCGGTCGGCAGCCAGTCAAAGCTACCAGTAGCAGAAAGGCAGGAACGAAGCCACTTAAGGACACGAGAGGTATCCGACTGGGTCAGGCCTGCGGTCCGAATTCAGCCCGTTTCGTCTGCTGGCCAACCGTGCCTAGGGTTGCCAGCCTCCAAGTGGGGTTAATGTAGAAACAACAGAGAGATCACGGGAAGGATGCAGACAGTGAAGAAAACAGCCGTGGTGTAGTATTATGAAAATATATATTTAAACTGCAGTTTTGCAGCGAGTAGCATTTCTTCAATAGGTAATCAAGATGCACACACGGACACAACGGAATTTCCCGATTCACATGAGCGTTTCACATGTTGAACATGTTAAGAATTTGTTTCATTAAAGTGGGAAGAATGTTGAGTGCTAAATTCACGGATTAGTATTGCTGATGTGTAAACTAATGTTATTCACGCAGCACACTGAGATAAAGCGGTCGTGTGAAACGGGGAATTCCATTGTGTGCGTGCCTACATCTTGATTACCTATTGTAGAAATACTACTCACTGCAAAACAGCAGCTTAAATATATATTTTCATAATACTACATCACGGCTGTTTTCTTCATTGTCTGCAACCTCCAAGTGGGGCCTGGATGTCTCCTGGAATTACAGCTGCCCTCCAGCGATCAGTTCCCTTGGAGAAAATGGGATATTTTGGAGGGTGAACTCTGTGGCTTTAGACCCCATTGAGATCCGTTCCCAAACCCCACCGTCCCCAGCTCCACCCCCAAATCTCCAGGAATGTCTCAACTCGAAGCTGGCAACCCTACATGATGCCCTTGGAAGCCTCCCCAAATAGTGCCCAGAGGTCAGGCCGTCCCCCTGTCGTGGTCGTCCAAACAGAATCAGCCATCGCGGGCAGTAGCCTGTCTCCTTCCCTTGGACATGCCCCACTCCCATGGCTGCGTTCCCTGACAGCGAATCCCGCAGGTTAATTCATCACTGTTCGCAGACGGGGTCAAAATACCCAGTTTTCCCCAGACAAGGGGAAGGTACATTACATCTTGCCCGTGAAAATACGATCGTCAAAAGAGTAAAGGAGCCACTCTGGGAAACTCAAAATTGACGCTCCGTTTGAAACAGCGTTCCGTGCGCCTTGGTGTTTAGTCACGCCGACCACATGACCACGGAAACGTCTTCGGACAGCGCTGGCTCTTCGGCTTTGAAACGGAGATGAGCACCGCAACCCTAGAGTCGGATTCGACTGGCTTTCGAGCAAGGGAACCTTTACCTTTACCTTGAAACACCAGCGGCCGATCGGGTCGGGAGAAGCGCCACACTCCACCTGGTGCAGCGGGGAAACCATTCCCCGCAGCCGCCTTGCCACACTTTCCCGAAACCCAGCCGTTCGGTTCTTAATCTGGTAATGCCACACTTCCCTCTGGTGCAACCCGAAATGTCTTCCGCAAACTGCCACACTTCCTGCCACTCTTTCGCCACCCTCCGTTTCCAGCAAACTAAGCAGGGGAATGTCCCCTTCAACCCCCCCCCCCCCCCCCTTTATATAAAATGCAGCCCTTTCCCTTCACTCTGGATTAAAACAGGAGCAACCAGCGACTCGGGGTGGGGGGTGGGGAGAGAGAGAAATCCCGGCTGTCCCCGTCGATTGCTTGTGCTTCCACGCCCCTTTAATTTCCTCTCTCCGCTTCGTCTTCTCGCCCCCCCGGGGTCCTAGTGCACCACGCAATGGATCTGCAGAGAAAGGGGAAGGCAAATAGACAAAGGAGAGAGCAGGTAAGCAAAAGGGGGGGGGATTTCGGCCAGCCTCCCTTCGGCTACATCTTAAATAGATTGGGCTTCATTTTTGCAATGTGGGGTGGGGAAGGCGCCGCCGCCAAGCCTGGCGCTGCACCCTGTCTCTGGCGGGTCGGTTCGGGGACAGGCGTGTGCGCGTCGCCGGGGAAGGCGATGCCGGGGCTGCTCCTTTGTCCCCCTTGGTCCTAGACACAGCCATTTTGCGGGAGGGCTTCCTCGCCTGCCGGAGCCAGACCCCAGCCTTTTGTCTCTATCGAGCCAGGGGTTTGTTTTTTTCCGCTTGCAGACAAACCAAAGGGAAGCCCACCGTTGCAAGCGATTGCAGCGCGACAGGCGTGTGCGCGTCGCCGGGGAAGGCGATGCCGGGGCTGCCCCTTTGTCCCCCTTGGTCCTAGACACAGCCATTTTGCGGGAGGGTTTCCTCGCCTGCCAGAGGCAGACCCAGCCTTTTGTCTCTGCCGAGCGATATCGAGCCAGGGGTTTGGTTTTTTCCCCCGCTTGCAGACAAACCAAAGGAAAGCCCACCGTTGCAAGCGATTGCAGCGCCATATATCCCAGAACAGAAAGCCCCGTGCCTCTTTTGTCTTGGGCCGTCATGTATTGGGCAGAAACGCTTGGGCGAGCCCGCTCTAAAAGGGTCCGATGGGGTTACCGTATTTTGGAGAGCCGAAAAGGAGACCTGTTTCCCGACTGACTGCTTCACGATGACGAATCTCGTTTTAAATACCCCTCCTATTTAAGGTGGGGTAATTACTGCGGACTAGGAATATTGCTAACCTTCCAACCCCCCCAAAAGAGGACATTTTCATCAGTTTTTTAAAAAGAGCCCAACAAAGGATGGACACCCCCCCCCAAAAAAAAAAAGAGAGGACATCTGGTAACCCTAGGGTCCACGTTACCTTCTTCTGCGGGGTGTGTGTGTGGTTATTTAATTTTTTTATTATTTGCATTGGCTTGTCCCACGCAAGCCGTGAGAGCTCTGACGTGGTACTTTGGCTAATAAACATCAAGTTGCCCTCTACGGAATATCAGTTGGACAGCCGAGATGTCCATTTCAGAGGGTGGCCGTGTTGGTTTGCAGTAGAACACCGAGATTTGAGTCCAGTAGCACTTTAGAGACCAGCAGTTTGTCCAAGGAATGAGCTTTAGAGAATCAAGTTCCCTTTGTCAGACGCTACTTATCAGAGATGTCAGATAAGTCTAGGTCCTCATGCACGCACACACACCGAACCTCACAGTGCATGGGTATATGAATGAAGAATGAGGACAGGAATTCCTCTCGCCTTCCAAATCCCTCCCTCTTTCTATGATCTGGCAACCCTCCTTGTCTGGATCCACCCACATGCACTGCCCCCGGGCTCTTTGGAGAGAGGGAGGGAGGCGAAATGTGCAGCCGGATAGAGAAGGACCATCTACCGCAGCTCTTTTGCAGCTGAACCACACCAAATAGTTTGTCTTTCGCTATAGCTCTAGATTAAGGAGGCCCACCCAGATGAATTTTTCCACTCAAATCGGACAGTGATCGATGCTGGAAGCTCAGCCTTCCGATCCCAGGCGTGTGGTGGCAAGCTGTGCTGCTGTGGTGTGAAACAGGCACTCTGTACATGCTCAAAGGAAATTCACAGAGGCATCACTTCATATTACGTACTCTGTGGCCTCAAAATAGGTTCCAAGGCAAAGCCTTAGTTTAGGTGAAACTTTGGTGAAGGAAAAGAGTTTTCTCTCTGTCTCTTGCTTCCTCTCTCTTTTTCTCACACCTCTTACCCAGCGAATCTCTCTCGCACACAAACTCCTCTCGATGGCGTCTGGCCCTTCCTACCTTGCTTCTGTCTGCCATTTATATCCCTGGCTTTTATTTTTCTCTTGGAGATGTGGGATGTCCTTTTACAAATAGGATCCCTCCTAAAAGGAGGATTGTACACACACCCTTCAGAGTTGTTTTCTTTTTCTTTAGCAACGTCTGCATTTTGAGGCATGTTCTTTTCTCAGACCTCTTCCCCTTTCCCTCTCCCCTAGATCCTACATCCAGCCATTTTGGACACAGCATCAGCCCAGCTACTTATAAACAAGGCTGTCCTGGCTGAGCAGCGAAAGGCAGGACTCTTCTCCCCCCCCCCCTCAATTTCTGGAGTTTGAACTCTATTCCTACGTGCTCTGCTTTGCCTTCCCCCCCCCCAGAGGACAGAAACTGTTTCTCTTACTAACTCCCAGCCATTTGACAACTGCTTTGTATAAACAATGGAGAATTTTTAAAAAAAAAATAAAAGAAGAAAACGTACATTTAAATGTATGCTCTTTGCAACCTCTTTGTAGGCGAGGGCCTCTTTTTACATTAAAGGGACGTCCCTTATTGCAGCCCCGTGTCAAAGAGTCAGCCTTCTCTTTGTCTCGTGTCTGACAAAGGCTCCTATCCTGAAAACTCATCCCCTGAAATTCTCGTTGGCCTCTGCGGCGCTACTGGACTGGGATCTAATGGTTCTACTGCAGACCAACACGGCTACTCCCCTGAAATTATTTCTCTCCCAGTTTCACAGAAGTCAGTAGGAATTATTTGTTTCTCTCTTTTTTTGCCATTGAGTCGAGCTGACATCTGGTGACCCCCTAAGTGGGGCCTGGAGGCAAGGGACGTCCAGAGGTTGGCTTGCCATCACCTGCCAGTTTGGTGTCGTGGTTTAAAAGCCTGGGCTCTGATATGGGAGAACCGGGTTTGATTCCCCACTCTTCCACATGCAGCTGCTGGTGTGACCCTGGGTCAGTCACAAGTTCTTTCAGAGCTCTCTCGGCCCCACCTACTTCACAGGGTGTCTGTTGTGGGGAGGGGAAGGGAAAGGAGATTGTAAACAGCTCTGAGACTCCTTCGGGTAGTGAAGGGCGGGGTATAAATCCAATCTCCTCTTCTTCTCTGCATCATGACCCTGGTATTCCTCAAAGGTCTCCCAACCAAATACTAGCCAGAGCCGGCTCTGCTTAGCTTCCGAAATCTGACGAGATCAGGCCTGCCTCGGCTATCCAGGTCAGGGCATCTTTCTTTCTTTCCTTCCTTCCTTAGGGCACTTGTATGCTGCCACTCCAGAGAGCTGCTCAATTCTCCCCCCGATTTCCGTAGAGATCTCACCAATACCTTCGGGATACCCCCCCCACACCTCTTGTATATCCCCCCCCTTGTATACACACAGTGCATTCCCCTCTGTAGCCATATTGTAAAGACAACGTGTCGTGGTGAAGAGTGTTCAGACTAGAATCTTGGGGAGGACCCAGGTTCGAGTCCCTACTCTGCCGTGCAAACGTGCTGGCTGGGTGACCTTGGGGCCAGTCACACACTCCCGGCCTAACCTCCCTCACAGGGTTGTTGTGAGGATAAAACGGAGGGGAGAACGATGCTGGCCGCTTTGGCTCCCCACTGGGGGGAAAGACGGGGTAGGAATAGAGGCAGTAAATAAACAAGGAAGGTGGAAGAGGAGGAGGAGATTGGATTTATATCCCGTCTTTCACTTGGAGTCTCAGAGCGGTTTACAACCCCCTTTCCCTTCCCCTCCCCACAACAGACACCCTGTGAGGTGGGTGGGGCTGAGAGAGCTCTTGACAGAAACGGCTCTTTCAGGAACGGCTGTGCCAGAGCTTGTGACTGACCCAAGGTCACATCAGCAGGTGCAAGTGGAGGAGTGGGGAATCAAACCCGGTTCTCCCAGATTAGAGTCCACACACTTAACCACTACACCAAACTGGCTCTCAGCCAAACAGATTCATCCTTTGCACACGCTATTGTTATCTGATCTTTTTTGGATGGCTCCTGTCCTTTTATTGCTTGAGGAGGGGGCAGGCTAGAAATCCTCATTACCTCAGGGTGGTACAAGAGGATCTCCTCTCTCCCTTATTCTGCAGACGACCCCCTGCTAAGTTTGAGTTGACCTCTCATGTTCAGTGTATTAATTGTTCAGTAGTGGGCTCTTTCCCACCACTTCCTCTGTCTGTCTCCATATATTTTCCTTTCACGCCAACAGTTCTCCAAACACATTTCTGTCCCTTGCTGAACTTTAAAAGGGGATTGCGCCTTTGAGACCCCACCCCTCTTCACAGGGCGGATGTGTTTGACACTCAGGGGGCCATGGTTACTTGTATCTGGGGGGTGTCAAATTATTTGACTTGGGTAATGGTCAGTGGAAAGGTATAGAATGGCCCAATCTCCTCAGATCTCGGACGCTAAGCTGGGCTGGTACTTGGATGGGAAACCATCAGTGTTCCCTCTAAGCTGAGTTTTTTTAGCCTCCAGCTCATGCATGTTTGTCTCAGCTCAGGAAGGAGGGCTCCAGAGCAAACAATTTTATGCAGTAGCCGAATCATTTGCTCATAACTTTAATAGCTCACAAAGGAGACTCCACAGCTTAGAGGGAGCACTGGAAACCACCAATGAAGATATCGCAGAGGAAGGCAATGGCAAAACCAGCTCTGCTTAATCACGTGCCTTGAAAACCCTTTGCTGTTCCTTGATACCACTTTGCGTACACACACACACAATATTCTGAGCTAGTTGAAAACTGGGGGGACTTATAATTGAACTTGAGGGGGAGTTGGCCTTCTTCATCCCAGAGATAAGTTGCTGAGGGCTAAAGCAGAGTCGAAGGCCAGATTCCTGGTGTTTATAGTCTGGCCAATCCAGAAGCTTCATATTGCCTGCCAATCACAGGGGCTGATACTTCAATACTAGATGTGTATTCTGGGCTGCGCGCTCATTTGCCAAGGGTTGCCATTGTGGTAGGACCAGCGCTGTAACTTTGATTTCCGTGTTTGTTTCAGGCGGCGCCCTCTCCAAAGATGGCCAAGGAGGAAGAGGTAGATGTGGAGGTGAAGCTGGAGGAGGAGGAGGAGGAGGAGGAAGAGGCCGGCTACATCCAATCGGGTCGGCGCTACAAGTGCCTGACGTGTGGCAAGACGTTCCCCAGCGTACCGCGAGTGTTGCGCCACCTGAAGACCCACGTGGCCAGCGCTGACGGCAGCTTGGTTAGCAAACTCACCTGCCCCAGCTGCAGAAAGGAGTTCCCCGACCGCGGGCAGCTCCGGAAACACCAGCTCAGCCACCAGACGGAGCGGCCGCACCAATGCCCCCTTTGCGCCAAGGCCTACAAGACGGCGCCGGAGCTGCGCAACCACGGGCGCAGCCACAGCGGCGAGAAGCCCTTTGTGTGCCACGAGTGTGGCAAGGCCTTCATGCAGCCGGTCTGCCTCCGCGTCCACATGGCCCGGCACACCGGGGACCTGCCCTTCCGCTGCCAGCAGTGCCACAAAGGTTACGGCACCCTCTCCAAGCTGAGGATCCACCAGCGTTCCCACACGGGGGAGAAGCCGTATTCCTGCAGCGAGTGCGGCAAGTGCTTCGCCGACCCCTCGGTGTTCCGGAAGCACCGCCGCACTCACGCCGGCCTGCGCCCCTATCAGTGTGAGGTCTGCAACAAGACGTACGCCGAGCTGAAAGACCTCAAGAACCACGAGCGCTCGCACACCGGGGAGCGGCCCTTCTTGTGCCAGGACTGTGGAAAAGCCTTCTCCCGCTCCTCCTCGCTGGCCTGCCACCAGCGCATCCACGCGGCGCACAAGCCCTACCGCTGCAACCTCTGCGGCAAAGGCTTCACCCAGCTCTCCTCCTTCCAGAGCCACCAGCGCACCCACTCCGGAGAGAAGCCTTTCCTCTGCCCACAGTGCGGGCGCATGTTCAGCGACCCTTCTAGCTTCCGCAGGCACCAGCGAGCCCACCAGGGCCTCAAGCCGTACGCCTGCGACAAATGCGGGAAGGCGTTCCGCCAGCCGGCCGACCTGGCCATGCACCAGCGCATCCACACCGGCGAGAGGCCCCACAAGTGCTCCCAGTGCGACAAGAGCTTTGTGGCCTCGTGGGACCTCAAGCGCCACCTGCTGGTGCACTCGGGGCAGCGCCCCCACCAGTGCGGGGAGTGCGGGAAGAGCTTTGCCGAGCGGGCCAGCCTCACGAAGCACTACCGGGTCCACTCCGGGGAGAGGCCCTTCAAGTGCGAGCGCTGCGGCAAGGCCTTCGTCGTGTCCTCCAGCCTCCGGAAGCACGAGCGCACCCACAGTAACGAGAACAGTGACAACAAGCCCGCGCCCCTAAGCAACCAAGACCTGCCCCCTAGCGACCCGTCGGCCATTGTTGTCGCCACGGTCATGCCAGCTTGTGGGGAGTGCGGGGAGGCGTTTTCCTCTACTCAAGACCTGCGCCGCCACGAACGACTGGTCCACCCCGGCCTGAGACCCTTCCCGTGCCCAGAATGTGGGAAAGGTTTCTCAGACCGGGCTGGGCTGCGTAAGCACGAGCGCATCCACTCCGGGATCCGCCCCCACGCCTGCCCCCACTGCTCCAAGGCTTTCCTCGGCGCCTCTGACTTGCGCAAACACCTCAAGACCCACGTGGCACTCGAAAACAGGGTCCCTGAGGACACCGTGGTGACGGCGACCATCACAACCTACGAGCCACTCATGCCTGCCCACATCCATCACCATGACGACGTCACAGGGACTGACAAAGAACCTCCGTCAGACTGTCTGCAGGAAGCTCTGACTGAACCATCCTGAGGTCCACCCCTTTCCCCGCCCCCTAGATTTGCGATTGGTTGGTATGGCTTGCCTGTTCAATGACCTCACTTGTGGTGACACGTCTTTCTGCCTCCCTCCAAATAATGTGGTGTGGACAGCACTCTTTCTTCAGTGGCTTCCCTTTGGAAATGGCTCTTTTCACTCCCCAAGCACTTATTTTTCCAAAGGTGGGGCATGGCTACATGTGCTTTTCATAGGTGGGTGTGGCTGCAGTCTGCCAAGCATACTCCCCTCTCCCCAGGATCAAGCACTTTGTCTGCCCAGTTTTGAACACAAAATGTGTTGTGGGGCACGAAATAAAAAATCATGCTTTCAAAATATTGACCGTTGTCCCCATTGGCAGTAGGAGGAAAATACAATAATGTGGTTTTGCGCTTGCACCTTCTCGTAGCTGGGTGCGCATGCATCTGTTGCGCTCCATCAGTTAAACTCCTATGCCATGTGTCATTTGGGGGGTGGGAGGCCGGGTTAAACTGGTATGGAAGAGCCTTTTCTTTGCAGAGAGGGGAAAGAAGCACGGCTGCCCCCTTCTTCCATTCTCTTCTTCCAGGACAATTATCTTCATCAATCTGTTTCATGCCACCCGTGCTTGTATGAACAGTTGAAATAAAAGGCCTTGTTGTTTTAAAGGCGAGTACTGGGTGCTAGGTTTCATTTTCCAAATTGTGGCTTGGGGAAAGAGCCTTTTTCCTTCCCCTGTTAAACTCAGATCCCCCTCCCCACGCCATTATCCTTTCAGTTTCTCCAAAACGTCACTGCTGTTCCAGTTTGCCTAACAGACCTGGTTCTTCTGCCACCCCACATTTGTGGCGATGAAGCTCTTGGCACCCATTGGCTGAACTGCTGCGGTGTCTCAGAATGTTCAGAGAACAAAGCAGGGTTACAGTCCAACTTCTTGGAGGGAAGTGGAGGTTGTCAGTTCGGCTGGGATCTCAACTTTGCAGAATGGGTGGTTAAGAATCGGGGAAAGGGCCTAGGGTGGAGGGAGACTGAGGGAAGGGGTATCCAGAGGCAAGGTGGCTTATGAAAGGGTACAATGGATGGGGGGGGGGATGTGGGCTAGTAACTTGCTTAGACTTATTTGAAAGGCTGGTTGAAGTTTCACTGTCTCCGCTGAACACATGTCGCAGCCTCAGCCGGGCACTTCCTGTGCCCACCCGCCCTGCTTCAGCTGGCCACCCTTCCTGAAGCCCAGGTACTTCATCCTTGTGGAGCTGCCGCTGCTGCTGCCCGGGGAGGCCGGGGCGCCCTTGAGGCCGCTGCTTCTGCTTTGGCGGCACAAGCCCCAAGGTGGCAGAGAACGGGGTGTCCCTGAGCGCACGAGAGCAGCCAGCAGCTGGTCGAGTGCCAGAGTTGAAGTGGGGGAGGGACGTTTTCGGTTATGACTGTCAGTTCTGCGCCCTAGGCGGCTGCCTAGGTTGACCTAATGGTAGCACTGGCCCTGGTTGCAGCTAAGAATAAAGCACTGAGGGGCACTGGAAGGGGTGCTGTTTTCGAGGCTCTTCTCATTGCCAAAACATCTCCAAAGGTCTTGTGATGAACAGAAACCTCAGAATCACACCTTCAGTTCATCTCTCAGCCTGCCCCCTCCCCGATTCTGTCACAGCCAAGGTTGGGGTTTCCCTTTCCTTCTTGCTAAGCTGTCACATCCTGTCATTCAGGTGCACACCCTGGCGTTGTTAAACTGACACTCGTTTCCACCAGAGCAGACAACTGCCCCCCTTCTGCTGCCAAAGGTATGTTCTTTGTAGAGGGATATAGAGGGATTCTGGTGTTTTTGATTTATGTGGAGGAAATATGGGAGTGAGGTTAGGTTTGGTGGCACGGCTAGCTGATCCCGCTTCTGCTGGAAGGGGTGGGGAGGAAGGAAACAGCTGCAGGGTTTGAAAATTGCCCCCCCACACACACCTGCTCCCTGATATATGAAAATCCAGCTCAAGCAGCCTGTTTGGTGTAGTGGTTAAGTGCACAGACTCTAATCGGGGAGAGCCGGGTTTGATTCCCCACTCCTCCACTTGCACCTGGCTGGATGACCTTGGCCAAGCTGTAGTTCTGATAGGAGCTGTTCTTGAAAAAGAGCAGTTTCTGTCAGAACTCTCTCAGCCCCACCCACCTCACAGGGTGTCTGTTGTGGGGAGGGGAAGGGAAAGGAGTTTGTAAGCCGCTCTGAGACACCTTTGGGTAGTGAAGGGCGGGGTATAAATCCAATGTCGTCGTCGTCTTCTCGCATGGACCAGTCAGGGCATGAAGACATCTCTTGTATGGATTGCCCTCCCCAAACGTGTATCCAGAGACACACTGCCTCTGAACTTTTTTAGCTATCATGGCCAAAATATTGCCAGTTGACTGACCTCTGTAAATTTGTCTAGTTCCCCTTTAAAGCCATCATGAGGTAGTCAGTTGCATAACTGAAAATATGCATTGTGTAGAGAACTCCTGTCTTTCGATTGTCCTGAATCTGTTGCCCACCAGCTTTACTGGGCGCCCCTGAGCCCTAGTTTTATGGGAGAAAAAGAGCTCTCGCTCCCCCCTCCCATGCACAATCTTATAAAAATCCATTGTGTCCCCCAACCTGAGATCTCCCTTTCCAAACTTTGCAACCTTGTTTTGTGCAAAAAATAATGATGATGATGACTCAGTGGAAACATCTTTGCAGCATCAGGAGAGAAAAGAGTCCGGTGGCACTTAAAGTCTTACACACTTCTTGTGGTGTGAGCTTTCATAGACTCCGAGCCAGCAAACCACAGATAGAAAAGGCCAACCTGGCTATCTTGGAACAACCTGCCAGTAGACAGGCTCAGCAGAGATAAGGACAGTAACTTTCTCCCCTTGTACGCTACCTACATCTAAATTAAAACCTCTCCAGAGCTTCCTTAAAAATTTATAACCAATCTTTGAAAATAACGCTTCTGGAAAGGCAGGGGCCGGCTTAAGAGTGTGATGGTCGGGCATTTGATAGGGCTGTGAGATCTGGGGAAACGCCCCTTATTCGGGGCTCCCGTTTTCAATAGACGCAGAGCAGTTAGAGACCACACGAGAGAATTCTTGATCCGGACATCCAGCCTCTTCTGGGTTAAAAGGATGCATTGATTGTGCCTTTGAAAGCTTGGAGCTGGAATTGTGCTGTCCTTAATTCCGGCTATCCTAGGGTTGCCATCATCCAGGTGGGACCTGGAGAACTCCCAGAAGTACAACTGATCTCCAGGCACACGTTCCCCTTGGAGGCTGCTCTGGAGGGTGGACTCTGTGGCCTTATACCCTACCGATCTCTCTCTCCCCCTCAAATGCTACTCTTCCTAGGCACCACAACCAAATCGCCAGGAATTTCCCAAGCCAGAGTTGGCAACCCTAAATCAGCCCTCAGTCTGAAATCACATCCACCAACAATGGTAAGCCACGAGGCCCAGGCTTCGCAATATGATACCAGCTCCGTTGCGGCCAAATAACAGCTTCAGGGCTGGAACAGAAGCGACGTGGGAGATCAGGATTCCTAATGTGCAAAAACCCCACATTTTCACTTTAAACCAGCTACGGGGAATGGAGGAAGGCATCCATTTTGTTCGCAACTGGGAAGCAGCTGGGGCGTTTAAGCCGTTCCCACCTGCTACTTTCTCAAAGTGAGGGTGTTGCCAGCCCCACAGGAACGAGGCCATGACTGACTTTTTTCTCCTGTGGGGTTAGGAGCAGTTCTTGGGAGCAATTTAGAGCAGGAAAATACCACAAATAGAAAGGGTTAATCACACCCCCTTAATAAAAATCAGTACACCCCCTTCAACCCCTGACCCTTCTCCATGATTGCTTTATTTATTTATTTATTTAAGTTGGGAGAGCCCAGGGCTTTTTTTTTGTAGAAAAAGCCCATCAGGAACTCATTAGCATAATAGGCCACACCCAACAGCAGGAACTCATTAGCATATTAGGCCACACCCCTGACAGCACAGCTCATTAGCATATTAGGTCACACCCCCATGTTACCAGAAGTGTGCTCATCCAGTCACACCCACCTTTTGCTTGTTATTCTGTTGACCTTGTTTGTTGTCAAAACCCAGGGCCTTTTTGTAGCAGGAACTCCTTTGCATGTTAGGCCACACACCCCTAATGTAGCCAATCCTAATGGATTTCTGCTGTTGGGTGTGGCCTATTATGCTAATGAGTTCCTGCTGGGCGTGGCCAACTTGGGATCCAGCCGGAACTCCGTTCCTGCACGTTCCTGCCCAAAAATAGCCCTGGGAGAACCTATTGGGGATCTCCCACATCCCATCTGGGCTGGTGTGGCATAGTGGTTAGAGCCTGGGGCCAGGACCTGGGATGGATGGCTCGGTTCAAATCTCTCGCTCAGCTGTGGAAGGCAGCCAAGTGCCCTTGGGGACCCTCACGAGCTCTCAGCCAAACCAGGCCTCTCTCAGGGCTGCTGTTGTGAGGATGAAGTGGAGGAGGGGGCAACCATGTGAAAAGCCACTTCGAGTTCCCAATCTGGGAGGGATTTGGGATATAAAGAACCAAAATATTTTGGCTTTAATTCACCACCGTGTCCCCCATCATGATATTTGCCAGTGCCTGCTGCTTTTCTGGCAGGCCGAGCAGGTTGGACACAGCATTTTAGGTAAGAAGAAAAGTTGGTTTTTATACCCCTCTACCCTAAGGAGTCTAATGGCAGAAAGTGAAGAGGACCTAAAGAGCCTCTTACTCAGGGTAAAAGAGGAGAGCGCAAAAGTGGGCTTGAAGCTCAACATAAAAAAAACTAAGATCATGGCATCCGACCCCATCACTCCTTGGCAAATAGAAGGGGAAGTCGTGGAAGTGGTGACAGACTTCACGTTCCTGGGATCCCAGATCACCGCAGACTGTGACTGCAGCCATGAAATTAAAAGACGCCTGCTCCTTGGGAGGAAAGCGATGGCGAACCTAAACAGCATGATAAAAAGTAGAGACATCACCCTGCCAACAAAAGTCCACATGGTCAAAGCAATGGTATTCCCAGTAGTCATGTATGGCTGCGAGAGTTGGACTATAAGGAAGGCCGAGCACCAAAGAATAGATTCTTTTGAACTATGGTGCTGGAGAAGACTCTTGAGAGTCCCTTGGACTGCAAGAAGATCAAATCAGTCAATCCTAAAAGAAATCAACCCTGACTGTTCCCTGGAAGGCCAGATAATGAAACTGAAGCTCAAATACTTTGGCCACCAAATGAGAAGGGAGCACTCACTGGAGAAGACCCTGATGCTGGGAAAGATTGAAGGTCAAAGAAGACGGGGACGGCAAAGGATGAGATGGTTAGACAGTGTCACAGATGCAACAAACATGAAATTGAGCCAACTTCAGAGGACGGCGGAAGACAGGAGGGCCTGGCGGGATCTGGTCCATGGGGTCGCGAAGAGTCGGACTCAACTGTGCGACTGAACAACAACAACCCTAAGGAGTTTCAAAGTGGCTTACAATGGCCTTCCCCTCCCCACAACAGGCACCTTGTGAGGCAGGTGGGGCTGAGAGCGTTCTGAGAGACCCGTGACTGGCCCAAGGTCACCCAGCAGGCTTCATGTGGAGGAGGAGTGGGGGATCAAGCCTGGTTCTCCAGAT